ACCATACTTCATAGTGGGGATTAGGGTACTGTTCTGCATGGCTGTCTTTCTGTCCATGCCAAACTCAGATCTGGTGTTTGTAACCACAAAAAAATTTGGTCTCGTATATCCATAGCCCTGGACAATTTATTCGGATACATGGTATCGCAGACCAGGTTATATAGGTGGTGTTTGATTGTGGTTTGGAAGATGTTCTGAACCCAAGACCTAATTCATTTCTGCTGTTCCCCATTTGTGATCCTTATAGGTTCTTTGTCCACTCGAATCAACCTCCTCACTGTGTGTGGGGTCTGTATAGACATATATACTCTTCCCGGCAGATTCTTAACATCTCCAGTTGTTTAAAACTTGTTATTTATTGACATGAGAGTGGACATTTTCAACTAGTTGGATATTTTCTTGTAGCCATTTTCTGATCTGTGCAGCTCAACAACCTTTTATCATACATCATTGCTGTGTTCTTTGGTATCTTATAGCACTGGATGACTGAGGGAATTCAGCTTTTGTCTCATCTCATATATATTCCCCAGTGAAACATGGCTGACCATTTGTTCTTTCCTCATTATTTCAATTACATGTAAGCAGCTAAAAGGTCTAGGTGTGGCAAGTGTGGCATTTGCATTTGGAATCCAACTGTGGTAGATGACCTAAGAATTTCTTTGAACTCTTTGTATCAGCTAAGCAGTCAATTGTCCAGTTACTTTTGAGCCCTTAAAAATGGGGGCTTTGTTTGAAAATGGTTGTAATTGTTCACTCAATTTGGTTTTAATTACTTTTTTTTATTAAATGCTAAGTCCAATATGCAGTGGTTGACAGCTGTAATAACCAACTTTGTCAACGTCCAAATATTTATGGGCATTACTGTATACTGTAGTGCTACAGACAGCAGCAAGTGTCGTTTTCCCTACTTGTATCCAAAAGTATAGTATGCCATCTAAATTTGTCTTCTTGGGTTTTGCCTTAGTGACCTCTCAAGACAACTCACAGATGGCGAGCCACATTGAGTGATGAAACTCATCTTCAGAAGTCAAAAAGAAATAGCCATCATCAGAGTGTCAAAGTGCAACATTATTGATAGCTACTGGTAATCTACCGAGTAAACCCATAGGGAAGAATAATAGAGAGACCTCATAGTCCAATGGGCCGAGTTCAAATGGGTCCATTTATCATGTTGCTCAGTGCAGAGATATAATCTACACAACCATTATGATTACACTCTTCTTTAATACACATCCAGTGGCAACATGACAAACTCTTTGGCCAAGTCTTTGGCTTTTGCTAAACCACACTTGCAGAGAATAGATATGAACAGCTATGGGTCCTGGCTTAGGAGAATATTGTACTAGCATGCTTGATTCCTGTTCTGGTCTGAGCTCATTGTCATTAGATCTGCTGTAACAGCTCATGCGTTCCTGTGAATTTTGAGCCTTTTGCCTGGTCAAGCTCAATTTCATAGGATGATTAATTGATATAGGCCTATAGTATATAAAATAGACACAGAATAGACACTTTGGGTTCCTAGACTATTTTTTAAGGCATTGCACTGGAAGTACAACTGTATTAACTCAAAAAATGTATTTTTGATTTTATTTTGACTTCACTATGCACCAGTGTGTGTGGGGAATGACAATAATAGCCAATAATATATTGCTTCACCTTCCCCTCCCACCTCCCCACCTTTCATTGAGTGAAAACACTCAGCTAGCTTAGAGACCCTCCCTGATACCATGTTTCACTTAAAGATATGCGGTACAGATGGAAAGTAGAAAATGCATTATCAAATATGATGCTCATTGACTTTAAATGCATGAATAGGTACCATAAGGGGACAAGTTTAGGCAATAGGCAGCACTTCAACACAATAGCTAAGAAGGTTAGGTCCTGTAGCTGAACTGAAATCTGTTTATCGTAGACTGCATCATGAACATAGCTGTTTGTTTGTCTGCTAAATTCAGTAAAAAAAAATCAAGAAACTGATTCTAGGTCCAGGAGTTTTTTACAGGACTGAGTTGGCAACTTGCTGATGTAACTTCGCTATCTGGCTACTTAGCAAATGAAACGCTTCACAGCTAGCAACAACCATAAAGAAGCACAATTGCAATGTGGTTCTCATTCTAGAACAGAAGTTAAAGCCAGTTAAAAAAAATATTGACAAAATTTAAAAAACAGTTTTTCTGAGGTAATTAGCTAGCTCACTGAAACTAGCCAAGCTAAGGGCCAGTGTGTTTCCATAGAAAAATCGCTTCCTTTCCCCTGCATGTGGCCACCTTTGTATCGTAGATGCTATGGAAAGTGCCAGACAAAGTAACCAAGGATGTATAAAAAAAAAGCATGGAAAGCAAGAATTATTAAGGAAAAATACACAATGGTGAGTGAAAAATCCTCTCTGTTTACAAACTTTCTGCATGTCTGGTCTGATGTTTTGAGTGCTAATGGTCCTGGGTAGACCCGTTCTTCTCCCTGGCCCCATCATATTAGGTATTAACACACACATACACACTCTGCCAGAGTCTTCACATTTCCATGGTAACCTAGTTGCCCTGGTGAAGCAGAGCCCCAAGCAAATTCAATCAGATATCTGTAGGGGTTTTTTTGCCAGCCCAAGGGCCCTGCTCTTTCCAGTCTGGAGTTGCTTATACACAGATGTTCCCATATGGCAGCTCAGTCATCCTGGTCTGATAGAAAGAGACACTCCACTCACTTTCTCATGAATGATCTCTTTCGCCTCATCATTACTTTGAACGGAGGACAGACTTAAATCTTCTCTTGGCTTTACTATATTGATCACCGAAATGACCAGGATAGGATGTGCTTTGCACCTGCATGATTTCTTTTGCTTCTTCAGTTGACGTCAGAGAACATGAAGCTTTTGGAAAATGTTTTTTCGACACAGACAAACATACTCTAGTCCTAGTTTACAGTGTCAAGGTAGGCTTCTTTAAAAAAGGTTACAGAGAGCAAGACCTAATTGAGAAAAACTCCATTTTTAAAAGTTTCTACATAATTCACTGGTTAAGATATAAACGAAGTCAGTTACGTGTAGTTTGATGTGAAACGCTCTGTTCTAGAGAAACTTGCTGAGTCAGAATTCTTAGCAGTGGGGTTGATAGGAACCAGTTATCTGAAGAATTCAATGCCTCTAAAAGCTCCCTCACAGAAAATTTTTACAAAGAAATGGTTATGAATAGGCTGCCTATTGCCTGAGACATTGTTTTCTGACAGTTTGGAGATAAGCTTTTGGCCTAAAACACATTTTTAGAATCCATTATGGCAGAGATGTAAAGTCAGGGCATTGTAAGGCAAAATAGTCCCCAAAGAAAACTCAGTTTGTCAGATATACCCCATTAGGGCTGTCATGATTACTCAATCACTCAAAAAAATACATTAAAATTGACCTTCTTGGTAAATCAGCAGTGACCATTTAGTAATGGTGTTTCATGTATTCTAATTATCATTCAAATTGCATCATTCAAAATGATGATTCTCCACATGGGGGAGCTATTGCTCCCACTCAAAATTGCATTGTGTGCATCAATGAAAGAGAGGAAACCTATACCCGTGGGGTCTCACAAATGCTCATAGGTCTTTAATACATGACATCATGGGGTGTCGGTTGTGTGATAATGAGACAAACCATTTTTTTATATTATTATTATTATTATTATTATTATTATTATTATTATTATTATTATTATTATTATTATTATAATAATAATAATAATAATAATAATAATAATAATAAAAGGGCGGCACGGTGGCGCAGTGGGTAGCGCTGTCGCCTCACAGCAAGAATGGCCTGGGTTCGATTCCCGGCTGGGTGACCAGGGTCATTTCTGTGTGGAGTTTGCCTGTTCTCCCCGTGTCTGCGTGGGTTTCCTCCCACAGTCCAAAGACATGCAGTTAGGCTGATTGGACATGCTGAATTGCCCCTAGGTGTGAGTGTGTGAATGTGTATGTCTGTCTGTCTGCCCTGCGATGGACTGGCGACCTGTCCAGGGTGTATCCTGCCTTCTGCCCAATGACACCTGGGATAGGCTCCAGCACCCCACCGCGACCCAGAAGGATAAGCGGTTTAGAGGATGGATGGATGGATAATAATATTAATTTTTTATATAAGAATAATACATTTATATTATAATAATAATATAATAAATCCTTGTCACAATTATCCTTTGACTATTAAAGTATTTTTTTTTTAAAAATTGTAACACATACGTAAAATTTTCCATTTACAAGACGTGCCACTTACCATTTACTTATCTATGTGTGATATCTAATGCATCTAATGTTCATTTACCTAAAATGAATGCGTTTGGGCTGGCCAATTAAGGGCTTTGTTCGAAACTGTATCCTACTGAACTAATGAAAGCACTTCTAATGGCGGTGTGACATTTTTGACGTACCGTTTAGTATATGTGGTTTTGGATGCAGCCAAGGACTGCTGAAGGAGTGAATTAGCTGGAGCAGGAGTGTCAAATTGTGGTTGGAACTAGATTCTACAGGTAGGTAGTTCTCTAAGACCAAGGACTGTTTTAGTCTGGCAGATGAAACCATAATTACTGGCAAAAGAATTTAAACACGTTGAAAATAAATTTAAAAACGTCTTTTTTGTGTGGACCTCAACCATGAAATGACCAAAAATACACTTCTCTCCTCTGACTGTAGGGTTGACTCCTATGCACTTCTCTGACTACATGAATTTGCACAGATCATAACATCTGAGCTACGAGTCTCTCCTCCTCTCCGTAGACCTCAGCTATGTTCTTGTACCGGTCAAATTCAAAGCAGAATACAGGTGTCTGCATACCTGGGCACACCAAGTATAACCTGTGTGTGGGCAACACTGTCATATGTCCATTTTAAAAAGAATAAAAAATATATATTGATACAAATGCATCTAAGATATATCCCACAGACATGAAATGCACCTACAACTGTACAAATAACTATACTTAATACTGAAATGACTTCTAAAACATCCACAATCTCTTTCTCTGCAGTGTTCCTACGTTCCCAAATGTGAGCGAGATAACCAGAAGATGCAACAAGACATTCAAAGGCTAGAACATTACTGGAGTAAAGAGGGTAAAAATCAGTCATTTACCTGCTTCTTCAACCCCCAGAGGAGGTAAGCCAGTTACATTCTCTTCACACACTTCCCATGCTCTCGCCCTATTGGGTAATGTGTAAAGTTTCTCAAATTAGTCATGCATGTGTGCTCTCAGGTACCCGTCTCCATGTGGAAAAGGCTGTACATAAGATTAAGGATGAAAATATCTTTACGCACAGAGTCTTCCTTTGTTTTTGTGGGCTAAACTGCCAGTGAGACAAATCTGAGTCTCACTGAACACTTTAAGGACCTTACAGACAGGACTAGTTTTTCATGGGGTAATGTAATTTTACCACAGGACATCTGGACATTGTTTATGATTGATGAAAAATGGCAAAGGATGACAAATGGGAGTGGCTACTTGATTTACACATTGGTGTCAAACATGCGTAATACATATCTTCCACTGCTCAGAGCTAAACAAATTTTTATTTAATTTTACGGCCTAATTCCATACTCACATCTGTAATCCTACACACAATGCAAACTGTGTGCCTTTTATAACTGCTATTATAACATGCTATTATTATAGTTATAGTAACTTGAGTTTGAAAATGAGCAGGTATGTCGTAACATATGTAGGCTGTAGGCTACATTGCACAATAACCTGCCAGGAGCATCACTCCTCTGAGGAGTCCTTTTTTGAGTGTTTTTGAGCAATGTGCGTCCTACATCTAAGGTTTGCAACAGACTTGAGAAAAACTGTGAAAAACAGGATATAACAAAGTTTACTCGCATGTCAGTTCATACAGAATTATTATAACCTGAGATTATTTCTGTGGTTGGTTTTATAGTAGGTAAACGGTGCCAGTAAAAATGACTGACATGGCAGATTCGGTTGGGACTAACATCACTCAGGAGATGCCCTGGTGATAATTACAATGCCCCCTTTTCATGTTTCATGTGCTGTGATTTTGCATTCATCCACTGAAAAGCTAATATTATGAAGGCATATCGGAGATGGACGTTCTTCCTTTAATTTCTTGATTTTATGTGTACTGTTAAACAAATGAATAGCTGACTTAGAGCAAAGTGGACTGCATTCTGTAAAATACAGCGCAATTTGCAAGGTGCACCCCCATCATTTCCCCCCATTCTATTATTCACCATCGCTGCATTTTAAATAAAGCTTAGTCAACATGATGGTGTTGTCAAGGTACTGCTAAAATAAAAAAACAGGAATCATCAGCAGTTTCCAGAAAACAGGACCAAAACACTGCCTTAATTTTTCTGGAATCAGATAAACTATTGAGTTAACAGTGCATCAACGTAGAAGGCCTGATACAGATTCATCCTGGATTGAGCATCAGGTGTGTTTGATTACTGTGTCTGGCACCTTTATGGCTCCTCTCTACCCACCGGGCATCGCTGTACACAATGGGGCACACACCAGCATCAGAAATGCCACTTATCAACACCACCCACCTCCTGGGCAAGCGTGGTGTGGAACCAGGGATCACAGCTTCTGAGAACAAATTATCATCTTCCATGTCCCCTGATGGAGAAACCAATTTCTTTGTTGTTTCAGCAATATCTCAAGGCATTGGCTGAAATAGCACTGGCTTCTAGGGTCTGTAATACTATCTGGTCCTTGTGGTTGTAATTTGACTCTTTGACCCCTGGGAATAGTTTGCTATTCTTTCATTTTGTTGCTTGGAAACCCCCATGCTCTTTTACCTTCAGGTGAAAAGACCAATCCAGAACAAAGATTAATAGCAAAGCAGATCAGAGAGTGAGCTATTTATACTGTTTTGTCTTTATTTCCAAACATGGTTGTTGTCAAGGTTCAGATTAATTTCCTTATAATTTTCTACTGCAGGACCAAAACTTTCTTCAGCAGTGCAGTCCTGTCCTACTTTCCTCCTGCATGCTTACTAAGGTATGCTGGTGTGGTGGATCTCCCTAGATAGGCCCCTGCAGAAGGCATCCTCATTCTGCCTGCCTGCCTTAAATACAAATAAGTTGGCTTGACAAATCTTTTCTTAGAGCTTTATAGCCAGAACCACCTTGGCATGTAGATTTGACTACTTTTATGCTTGAGATGCCAAACTTTAATCTTCATGCCGTGCCAGCTTGGGGTGCTGACTCATTTCCTACCAATAGTCCGCTCCTCTTCGTCCTTTTTCAATTTCTTCTTTCATTAGGTTTTTTCATAAACTTCTATAGACATTATTCAGAACTGCTTCTATTCCACATTAATCTGTACGCTTGATCTTAAAATGCGAATGATGTCAGGTCAGGTGCTATATGAATGAAGTAACATTATTTAAAAAGAAAAAAAAATCCTGATATAGCCATATAAAATGATTTCTCATTCTCAAAACATGGTTCACTCTAACAAACAACTTCTAAATAACATCTAACATCTAAATGTCTACACTTTTCATTAATATTTTATTTTTTAAAGCACACTTGTGTCTTTAGGGACTCTAAATGGTCACCCATGACTTCCACGTGTGATTTTCGAATTCATAAGGATGAGGTGACTTGCAGGGCAAAGACCCTTAGTCATCTATCAACATGGGGAACTTTCAAGAATACAAAAATGAAAACATCTTCACTGATGACCATAAACTTTTCCACTATTATGGGAAAAATGAAGAAGCTTCAAACATATATACAGTTGTATGCATATGTTTGGGCACCTCTAGCCAAATTTCTCATTTTGTTGATTTCTGAAGTGAAAAGAAATAAACAATACCTCCATGTAAAAAATTCTGCAGATATTAATGTAGAGTTATTTTATATTTGATTAAAAAATAGAAAGAAATAACGTGTGGCCAGCCTTTCATTTGTAAAGTCTCGGAACCTATTTTTTTCCGTTAAGCTTTGACTTTGACGTGACGAATCTTTAGACAGGTAAGGAATTGTCATTATTAATTGTCAGCTGATTCCAGAGCAAAACAAATTTTCTGACTCTTTAAACTTTGTATTAACACTCAACAACTTTCAACTCCTCTAAGCAGCTGGCTGAGGACCTGAAAATGTTGATGCTAGGGCTGCACGATAAAACATATATTTATCATTACTGCAATATGAGTTTCTGTGATAAATACATAGTTAGAGCAGCAAGAACAGAACAAATCTAATTACTTCATACATGTGGTGCCAGAGAGACATCTTTACATTATCAGCACAAACCGCTACAAGTCTGCTCTTCTGCACTGGAACTGAACCCTGCTCAACTGAACTCAGCTTAACGGAAATTGAGTTAAAACAGCGTGCAGCAAAGGGGAAACCATGCAGCACACAAACTAGCTGAGGCTCTACTGTTTTTCTGCTAGCCAACTGAGCTACTGAAGCCTTCAAAATAAGAGTCCTGGACCAACTAAGAACATGGTGCCTAACTACACTCAACCAAAAGCAAGAACATTATTTTTAAACTAAATACAATGCAGCATGTCTGATGCCACAATATTTAATAACTAATAAATAAAAAATAAATAAAATTAAATAATACTATGTATTTGTTCTTGTGTGCCTATATAAAAAATAAAAATGAATTTATTTTTTTGGTTTTGTAGTCCTTATAGAAAAAACTGTTGAAGTAATTCTTACTGTTTCTTAGCCCTTCAATGTACAAAAAATGTGCTTACAGTTCTGATGTAAGTAGTTGTTAGTATTTCTTTTTATTTTGCAGAATAGTAAATGGTGCTTCTGTAGTTTTGCTATTTGTTTAAAGGAGGATTTTAAAGAGAAGTTAGTTAGATTTCTGTTTACACATCTTAAAAAATGTCTGCACCTGCATTACATTCAGCCAGGGACAAATTATTCTAATAATAGTTTATTGCTTGTCATATTGTCATTGTGATATCTGACAGCTTTATAGAATATCGCACTTTATGTCAATATAGTGCAGACCTAGTTGATGCCTATAAAGCAAGAATATCAAGATATTGTGATATACACCAATCAGGCATAAATTATGACCACCTCCTTGTTTCTACGCTCGTTGTCCATTTTATCAGCTCCACTTACTATATAGGTGCACTTTGTAGTTCTACAGTTACAGACTGTAGTCCATCTGTTTCTCTGCATACTTTGTTAGCTCCTTTTTACCCTGTTATTCAGTGGTCAGGACCCCAGTGGACCCTCACAAAGCTGGTACTATTTGGGTGGTAGATCATTCTCAGCACTGCAGTAACACTGATGTGGTGGTGGTGTGTTAGTGTGTGTTGCGCTGGTCTGAGTGGATCAGACACAGCAGTGCTGCTGAAGTTTTTAAACACCTCAGTGTCACTGCTGGACTGAGAATAGTCCACCAACCAAAAATATCCAGCCAACAGCGTCCCGTGACCACTGATGAAGGACTAGAGGATGACCAACACAAACTGTGCAGCAGCAAGGTAGGAGTGTCTAATAGAGTGGACAGTGAGTGGACACAGTGTTTAAAAACTCCAGCAGCACTGCTGTGTCTGATCTACTCGTACCAGCACAGCACACACTAACACACCACCACCACGTCAGTGTTACTGCAGTGCTGAGAATGATCCACCACCCAAATAGTACCAGCTTTGTGAGGGTCCATTGGGGTCCTGACCACTGAAGAACAGGGTAAATGGGGACTAAGTATGCAGGGAAACAAATGGACTACAGTCTGTAAATGTAGAACTACAAAGTGCACCTATATAGTAAGTGGAGCTGATAAAATGGACAATGAGCACAGAAACAAGGAGGTGGTCATAATGTTATGCCTGATCGGTGTATGCTTCTAGCTCGCACCTTACACTGTCCAAAATGTAATTAAGACATATAAGTGACGGGAAAGTCAAGTTAAGTTCTGGAAGACCCATAAAACTCCCACATTGAACTGCTCATGTTCATGTTGGCCAGAAGGGCATAGCAAAACCCCCTGTGACAGCTAAGGACCTGCAGGAAGGTTTAGTTGACACAGGAGTGGTGGTGAATCATTCTACTGTGTAGCATTACTTGCACAAACATGATCTCCATGGAAAAGCCATCAGGAGGAAACCTTACCTGCAATTTCATCTCTGAATATCTGAAGTATGGATTCCACTAAATATCAGCATATTCTGGAAGCACATGTGACACAGTCAGTCAAGTTACTGAATCTGAAAAGAGGCAGTTTTCTACAATAAGACAATGATTCATAGCATACCTTATAATGGGGCAGTCATGGGCTGGAGGTTAGGGAACCAGCCCGCTGACTAGAAGGTTGCTGGTTCGATCCCCTGAGCTGACAGTATGTGACTGAAGTGCCCTTGAGCAAAGCACCTAACCCCCAGCTGGGCACTGCAGATAGGGCTGCCCACCACTCTGGGCAAGCGTGCTCACTGCCCTCTAGTGTGTGTGCATTCACTAGTGTGTATGTGGTGTTTTATTGCACAGATGGGTTAGATGTGGAGGTGAAATTTCCCCATTGTGGGACTAATAAGGGTCTCTTAAATCCACCAGGATCTACTTCAAGAAGGCAAGCTGAAGCTTTTGGAATGGCCCTGACAGTCCTCTGAACTGACTTTGAAAATTGCTGGAATTGTGTAGGTAGATCTTAAGAATTCTGTGCATAGAAAACAGCTTAAGATATTACAGAACCATAATCATTCTGCAAGGAAGAGTATAACAGAAAAACTCCCTGCTGAAAAAATGTTGGCAAGGTGTGCTATCTGCCCAAGCAGGAGTTACTAAATACTGATTTAGCAGGATGCCGAAATCTTTGCACATGGCACAATTACTATTTTAAGTTTTCATATTACATTTTTAATTTTATCAAATATAAAGTAACACTGGACTGCAGGGATTATTGATGGGTTGTTTTTACTGAATGAATAATGAACAAAATATGTAGTTTAGAGATCCCCAAACTTTGGCATACAACTGTAACTGGGATAAACCTGCCTGGAAGAAACACAAGTAAAGAGGAGAGTCTACAGGTGTAGATCAAGAAGTCTGAAGAATATGGAGATATGAAAGAATCATCTCACACCTTGGCAAACCCGGCAAGGGAGGGTGAAATACTAAATGTAGGGGTTCCAAAGTTGTTAAATTGTCATTTTTTATTGTTTATTATTTAAGGATTATCTTTGAAACAGGTTATGTTTCTGTCATTTAAAGTGCAAGGTCAAGCTGAAATACAATATTTTGTCAGCCTTTTCTGCTCATTTTTTCCAAGGTTGCCAATAATTTTGAAGAGCACTGTCCATCCCTGGCCTGCCATAATTGAACCCAATTAATCAGGCGAGTTGATTGGCAGAGACACATTTCTTCCTCATGGGAGTCAGGGCCAGAGGCTTCTGGGGGGTCAGACTCTATTTCCCTGGTATAGCTCACTGTGGTAGTTGGCAAGCTCTTCACTGGCTTAAGTGTCTGGATGTTGTAGGGTTGTCATGGCTGACATGCTTCAGCAGTGTTGCGTGAACCTTAGGAACAGAACCCTTGGACAGGCAGACTGGAGTATTGGTCACTGTTTTTTTAAAAAAAGGGATGTATGCCAATTACTGGGGTATTGTACTGCTCAGCCTCCCCGGGAAAGTGTATGCCAAGGTACTGGAAAGGAGACTGACCGATAGTCGAACCTTGGATTGAGGAGGAACAGTGCGGTTTCCAACCTAGCCGTGGAACAATGGACCGGCTTTTCACCCTAGCATGGATTGTTAAGGGTGAATGGGAGTTTGTCAACCCAGTCTACATGTGCTTTGTGGACTTGGAGAAGTCTTACGACCGTGTTCCCCAAGATATTCTGTGGGAGGTCCTCCAGGAGTATGGGGTGCCAGGGCCACTACTCCAGGCCATTTAGTCTCTGAACATCCAGTGTAAGAGCTGTGTCTGGCATTATGTGTGAAGGCCGGAATGTGCAGTTTCTGCTTTTTGCAGATGATTGTCCTTTCCATCGCATGGATGCCTCCAGCACGCACTGGAGTGATTCGCAGCTTAGTGTGAAACGGATGATATGCAGATCAGCACCACCAAGTCTGAGTACGTGGTCCTCTCCTGGAAGGATGGCATGCTGGACCTGCCCCAGGTGGAGGAGTTTAAGTATCTCAGGGTCTTGTCCACAAGTGATGGGAAGGGAATTGTGAGATCGGCCACAGGCTGAGACAGGCGGCAGAAGTAATTCAGTTGCTGTACCGGACTGTAGCGCTGAAGAGGGAGCTGAGCCATAAGGCAAAGCTCGCTGTTTACTGGTTGGTCCCTATCCTCATCTGGTCATGAGCTTTGGGTAATGACTGAAAGATACAAGTGGTGGAAATGAGCTTTCTTTGCAGGGTGGCAGGCTACACACTGCTTGACAGGGTGAGGAGCTCTGTCATCCGGGAGGAGTAAAGACACTACAACTTCACATTGAGAGGGGCTGGTTGAGGTGGTTCGGACATCTGATTAGGATGCCCCCTGGCCGCCTCCTGTTCGAGGTTTACCAGGCAGGCTGACTGGGAAGAGACCCTGAGGTCATCCCAGGACCCAGTGGAGGGATTATATCTCCAAGTTGGCCTGGGAGTGGCTCGGGATCCCCCAGACTGAGCTGGAGGAAGTTGTAGGGGCACAGGATCGCCTGGGTTTCTCAGCTTTCCTTATTGCGACCGTGGCCCTAGCTAGATCAAACAAGTTAAGAAGATGAATTAGATGTGAATCCAACACACATATAAGATTTACATAAGATTTTTGAGGAATTTAAGTGAAAAAATAGAACTCTTTTAACACTCTGTCTCCCCTTCCCCCGTGTCACTTTTTGTCTCCCCATACAGGCCAGATGATGTGCTGTGGCAGCGTTCCCATGATGCTAGTGTGCTCCTCCACTGTGTGCTGTGGCCAATGGTTAGTCTGTTGGTGGGAACACTCATTGTGGTTCTCACGGTCTGTGCTCGTTCTCTGGCCGTCCGAGCCGAAGCTATCCAGAAGCGGAAGTTCTCCTAAGAATCAGCACAGACTGAAGGACTTTTACACACACATCGACTTCCATTTGGCTTCTGAGGTGCACCTTCTCATGGCTCTCGCTTCCTGCAATGCTGTGGAGCTGTGATTGCCGAACGCGGGGCATTTTGTATGTTGGACTTAAACCCAGGAAGCATGGTGAGTGATGGTGACATGTAGCCTTGGTAAATCTTAATTACTGGGCCTAGTCGAGGACAATCTCGTAAACTTTTCCTAGGACTAGAAGCACACATGCAAATGCTTGTCGGTTTACTTTGTCTTTGATTTGTGCCTCATCACCTGGTTTGATTTTGCTGGAGTTCATCCAACAAAATAAAAAATGCTGTTTTTAAATGATATTTGTGGTTATATCTATTAAGGCCATAGAAAAACTTAGTATAAACAGCAGCTTCACTGTCTCTTCTGTCTCAGTTGCTGATAGTGTCCTGGTATTTCGTTTTCATTCCGCTTTGGTGTTTGTGTGCTAGCTTCTTTTCCTTTTCACCTCTGTGATGTGCCATTTATGTCACTGTAGTACTTATTGCAAGCAATCAGTGGCATGGTGGGATGCTTTACGTAGCATTTGCTAATGTAGCAAGAAATATTTTGTGTACTGAGCAGCTATGTTTTTGGGCACCTTCCTCTACCTCATTCATGTTTCATGCATGGCCAAACATGTCATTAAAAATCTCTAAACTCAACTATGTTATGAACTCAAGCGAGTGTAATACCATTTTCTTGTAGTAGCCAATGGTCTACCTTATATTCTAGCCATAGTGCGAGGCTTCTTAAAAGCTAGACACAGGATATGTATGAGCAATATTGTGATTTATTACTTTTTTGTGGGGGGGGGATTTTTACAAAGTTGTTTTTACAATTGCTTGAACACAAGACACTCCATAGTGTTCCATACCTCTAAATACAAATCTCAAGACTGTAGACCAGTTTCATCAATGTCTGTCAAAATCAAACCCAACTTTTTCAAAGAAAGCCAATGGAGTGGCACAATGGTGATATGGTATATATATTTAAAGCGCACTAGTTTTATTAGCGTTGGCTCCAGTTTAGATATTTTTTTTCCATTATACATTACCTTTGAGTAGATATATTTGTACTACAGCATTGTAGACTTTCCAGCCATAAGCTACCACTCCTGTAACCTGCAGTTGCCTTTAGCTGTCTTACAGTTACTATACACGTATCTTAAATGTATATGTGCATCCAACATTGTATGTAACCTAAATGTGCAAAAATCTTCTCTTCTCTGCTCTTCTGTTAATGCTGAAAAATCACGCTCTGCTGAGAGAAGAGGTTGTGAAGTGATTGTAAAACCTATTCAGTCTGACAATGGAATAAGCTCATTGAGCTCTGTATGGCAGTATTTGACCATAGGAGAATTTTCCTTGGTAAAAGTGTGTAAATGATTAATAATGTGTTGAGAGTTTGGAAAGTGATGTGATTTAGCCTATGCTTCAAGCATAAAGCAGCAAAGGTGTGGATCACTGGCTCAGTGCAGCATTTCTGAGTCTGGGTTTTTCCATGTCAAATGTCAATTTTTGTGTTCAAGCAATTGTGTTTTTTACGCGTGGAAACATGCTTAAGTCCCTCCCCATCATTTAATTATTCAGAACACAGTTTCCAGCCTGTTCCAGCAGTACTCCGCTGCACTACTCCTGCTCATGTCTGCTCTACTCCTGCTCAAAACTGATCTCAGCCTTGAAAAACCTAGGTAAAAGTCACATTTTTGCCAAAAACATTTGCTGTATTCTAAAGTCAAAGTAGTTACTGCCATCAGCAGATGTGAAATATGAATTCAGATTAAATATTAAACAGTATTCATCTGAAAGATGAAATATTAAAAAGAAATATATGAAGTGCACTTTTAGGCTTCTTATTGGCATGATGCCAGAATTACTTTGCTTTTTAGACTTTATACTCCACAATTTGGAGCAACAGCAGGACGAGTGTGCGAAGTCAATATGAAAACATCAGAAAACATGGCTGCAGACATTTTTAAAAAGCTTAATGTTAAAAGGTGCTGCACCATCACCTTTCTTTGAATGGTAAACAGTGAAGATGCAGTAAATTAGCCTTAGAACAAAGAAAATATAGCACTGTTATTTTTGTGCTACATCTGAAGTGTGTCCTATGATAAATGATGTTGGTGCAGGACATTTAAAAAAAGTTGAATTCATTTCCCAACAGTCACATTTATTAAGATGCCAACCAGTGGTTTGCAGTTTCAGACTCTCTGGCAGGAGTGCAGCAGTCTAATGCTTGGGGTACTGCAGTACCTCGCGTTTTCCTGCAAAGTTTCAGAACTTGTTGATTGACCGATTTCAAATTGTTTCGTGTTTGTGTAATGTCTGATAATGTTTTTTTGTGAAAAAATCTTTATTTCTTTTATATGACTCTGTAAATGTTAAACATTTCAAAGTTGAATATTTGTTAAAAATTGTCCCCATTTCTTTTGTTAGTATTGTTACACACTTAGATACATCCACCTTGTAGTTTATCAGCTGCTTTAAGTTCAGCTCTTAAGATGTGAACTGGTCAGTGTACGAAAACGTGGCATCTGTGTGCAATAGCACACTGACATTTGTAAACCTGCCAGGGTCCATCCTTGTACCAGCGCAGTGAAGAACCTTATAGAAAGATAGTATTTTCCTATACAGTATGGAAAAAGTTTGTAATTTAAAACTTGATAAATTTAAATTTATCACCAGTACTCCCCTCTTTGTTTTCTGAGGTGTCTCATTTGCCATCTTTTAATGGAAACTAGGGATGTGCATTCGGACTAATTTTGAAATTTGAGAATCTGCAAGAGTTAATGAATGGATATCCAGTTAACTGCAGGGAAGGAAAACACAAAGAACAGCTCCAAAAAAGTTTTTCAGCAGTAATTATTGTAGGGCTGGAGCTGGAGGCTTATTAACACTCACACTGGTGTTAAGAGGCTAAGATACCAGTAGCACAAAAATACCAGAGGAATACATTTTATTATTCAAGAAAAGGGAGAAAATTGGGTAGCGGCTGCCTTTTCAGATGTGACGTTTGTTTTCTTCAGTAGATCATGTGACAACATGTTAGCATATGAGAGAAATACAGTGAATTTCCACTGCTTTTGGACCTAGCTAACATAATCTAGAGTAGTTAGCCTAGTTTGCAAAAAAGCCACCTTGTTACCCATGTCCTTAACAACGCTTGTTGTAGTACTCGAGTCTGTTAACTAACGTTAGTGGTCTCGTTCTCGTCTTGGTCTCGACCTCTTGGTCTTGTCTCGGCTTTGGGGTTAGGTGGACTCGGAAATTGTTGTTGACACTAGCCGAATCCGATGCCTCCGTCTGAGACAACTAGGAGCTAAATTATTATTGTGCTTGTATGACATGTTAAGTAATTGTTTGTTTCAGTTTTTTTTTTCATATTTATCGCTGTTAGTAATGAAGGTTATTTATACAGTTTAGCTCATCACTTAACTTTGTGAGACTAACAGGTGTTCTCTTCATAAAACTATAGGAAGGATAGTTTTATAGCCTAAATCACACAAAGCTCAAGCTTCTGGTTCACCAGCTTCTTGTTCAAATATTCCCTTTCCATCTCAAATGATGCAGCAGTTACATTCTGGTGCCTCAGGTAACTCTTTATCAGAAAATGTTACTAGCATCAAAATAGTAATAAAGTTACAGAGAGCTAAAGTTCACTGCTATATTATATTGTTTATAAATCTGTTAATAGAACATCATTAATTGTAGTTTATCTTTGGCCATTTTCTGCTGCATTTTTTTCTCCATCTTCACATGAAGAAATAAGTACCCCAAAGATTTAGTAAGTACTTATGCACATCCCTAATGGAAGCCATTGTTGATGGTGAAAACTAGGCATCTGAATGCATCCTATCAGAGTAAAGTGGGTAGGGAGGGGGCAACGCTTTGACTAAAACTCATAACTTTGACTGAAACTCGTAACCTGGAATTTCCAACCTTAGACTAGGAAAAGCCTTCGTAAACACCCGCTCAACTGGGAATTCCTACTCAAAGTCAGAAAGTTGTTTTTCTGAGTGCAGCGTGTGGTGTCATATCAACATGGCTGCTCAAACCATCTAAGTAATGAAGTATCACTGTTTGCATTTAAATGAGATTATTGTAGCCAAAAGCAGTTAAGTGAGATTATAGTAGAATATAGTACATGCAGACACAATAGTTGGTTAAATCATAACATTGACCATAAAGTCTGCTGTCTTGAGAAGGTAAATACATCTTTGTTAAAGTTATCAGTCATAAGACTAACATTAGCTGGCTAGCTTATTGCTAACAATAGCTGCTTTTATGGAGACATCCGTGTTTTTTCCCCGTAGCCTTGTAGCTCAAAAATTCGGAGCTCCGACTTCCCACTTCCAAATGAACTTTATTTGTGGGCGAGCTCATTAGCTGGCTAAGCAAAATTGTAATGCTGCTAGCTGTGTAGCATTTAGCTTGCTATCTATCAAGCTAGCAAAGTAAACAAACACATGTACATCAGAAGCAAACAAATTGAATATACAGTGGTGCTTGAAAGTTTGTGAACCCTTTAGAATTTTCTGTATTTCTGCATAAATTTGACCTAAGGCTTTATCAGATTTTCACACAAGTCCTAATAGTAGATAAAGAGAACCAAATTAAATAAATGACACAAAAATATTGGACACATTAGTCAAGCCAAAAATGGCAAAACATTGTTTTGATGGCCATAACAAAAAAAGTTATCGTGGAATATTTTTTCCCTTTGATTTCTTTAAATGTTGAAGTTTTGTAGTTTTGTGGGTAAATTGGCAGACAACCTTTTACAGAAAGAAGAGTCAATATTTTTCCACTCAGCTCTGATGGCTTCAAACAGTTGAAAAACATTGTCAAGCTAGTTTGTGTTAATGTGAAACCAAATATTAATGAACAACGTGAAACCATCTTCATATATTCATTGTAGAGTAAAGTGAAATTGGTAAAGGATTTGTAAAGGATGTTAGAGAAATTCTTCAAACATAAAATGAAAAATAGAATGCTGGGTGGTGCAATGATGGATGCTTTATGGTTAAATAAATTATTTTGCACTTTGTAACATGAAGGCAGAGTGTGATTTGCTTGAACATAGTGACATTCAAAACTTGTCCTGCTCTGTCAGTGTTTGTCAGTGCAGTTTGCTCCCTCCCTTTCTCCTCTGCCTTATACACTCTACACCAAATAATCTTCACAGCACTCGCTCACTTCACAGCTTCAATCCACGTGCTTAGACATGACTAGGACAGAGCTTGGGAAGAGCACAACAAACAGTGATGATAGATTAACTAAATTTTGACATTGTCAGACCCAGTACTGAGAAATGAAACATATCAAACAGCTGCATTCTGAATAGAGTGGATTAGAAAGAAACCACGTGATGTTGGATCATGATATCTCAATGAGTAGTGCCTGATTTAATTCTTTAACAAAAGATCAATAAAAAAATGGTATTATATTGTTTGTAGTTGTTTAATTTTGAACAAACATGTGGTGAGTCTGTGTGTGTGTGTGTGTGTGTGTGTGTGTGCGTGTACGTCAACACTTCTAATTTAATCTCTTATTCTAGTTTGTGTGATGACATCAATGCGCATGATGCTAATTATGCACGCATTTGATGGAGGTTTCCATGGTAGCCATGCTTATCAGGGAAAGAGAAAGAGAAAGGCCTAGATATTCTAAGCACTCTCTTCTCACACTGTGCATACAATCGGTGAGAGCCCATCTAGATTGGCTATAATCTGCACATGTGAATCTCATATAACTCTGAAAAGATTCCATGTAGCTAAATCCATACGTTGCATTATGAGGGAAAATGGTGGAATGGTTTTGTTTCTGAACACAAAGCTAAATTTCAGAGTCAAATCAGGAAATGCAGCAGTGCTTGTGCTGAAACATCATGAAGCAGAAAGACATTAAAATTGAAGTATACAATTATATCAATCATTATTATTTGATATTTGAAGTTTTAGCTCCTTAAACTCAATACCGGCCACTAGGGGTGGGAATCTTTAGGCGCCTCACGATTCGATTCAATTACGATTCAGAGGGCTGCAATGCGATTATAAAACGATTCTCGATGCATCTCGATGCATCTTTTTTCTCTATACAGGATTTCCATTATTTTCGGGATTTCCAGTATTTTCGAGACTGGACGCTGAATCTCGGCTCCAAAGTGTGCAGCATAGCGCGAAAGCCCTGGTTCTCAATGACTGAGAACAGACAGCAGACAGCAGGTCACATAGCCCCGAAGTCTGGCCTCGCCAGTAGCGAACGAAAAAACAGAGATTAAGACGAACATTTGGAGGTCTTATTCGCATTTATAAGCAGCGCGGTTGATTAAATCTGCTGAGAGACTGTCTTTCTCTAAAAAGTTGCGAAAATGAACTCGCTTCTCTTTCGAATTTTCCCGTTCCACCTTAAATGGTGCAGCAGTTACATTCGGCGCCTAAGGCAGAATTTAAGGTGGAACGGGAAAATTAGAACGAGAAGCGAATGAGAAGCGACTTCAGCCTCGTAAAACAGCCGAATGCTGAGACATTTTACAAGAAGCTCTTCTAGTTTTGAAGAAAAGTTTTCTGTTGGAGATGGAAGGAAAGCGGCTATAGCTAAAGCTTAAAGCAGAGCAAAAGTAAATCTGCACTCTCGCTTATATTTTTAGCACATACTGAGACATACTGGACTTTAAATGTTGTGGCTGCCAAGGTGGTTTGACTTTGTTGAAAGGACAAAACGGCTCTTCTTAACATTTGGGTTGTGACTCCTGACCTAACCTGGCTTTAATGCAGAGGGAGCCGGTCGGATTTCTCACTCGTCCAATTGCGTTTTTGTTATGTGCCGCCACAGACTGTCCGGGCGCTGCACTTACCCACTTCCAGTTCCGCCTTTTGCGTTCCGTCAACATTACGTTATAAATTAAATATTTAGAAAATCGATTTTTGACATTTATGAATCGATTCAGAATCGTTCACGTCCGCATCGCGATGCATCTAAGAATCGAGTTTTTCCCGCACCCCTACCGGCCACACAATTTTCATACAGTTTGGGCCCCTTTGACAACAGCTTTGTGCACTCCTAGCTCTGAAGCAAACGGGAGTGGTCTAGGATCACAAATTAGTCAAAATTTCTGTGTGCGGGCCTTTAGGGCAATTCAAATATTACATACTTTGTCACATTGTCCGATAAGTTTTTTCTTTTTTTTTCAGACTACTACAATGATTTTTTTTACAGGATTACCTGAAGAGGCTATTGATCTGTTACAGTTTGCATGAACTGTAACTGCTACAGTGGCTGACTGAGAAATCCTGCTTTATGAAATACCCTCCAGATTCTGTATCTTCTTATTAAAACCAATTTATTTTCTTACAGTTTCACATAGTTTTCCTTTTTTTGCATTTATCTTGTTCTCTTTGCTCATTTTGTGTGAAGCACTTTCTGCTGCATGTATATCACAGGTGCTATACAAATAAATATTCACTAATGTCATAATAGTGGTGTGTCATCAGATCGAGAAACTGTGGAGATTAGAGATTAAAACTGCAGCATGTATATATCTCCCTCGATTGTATCAAGGGCACAGAGGGAAGTGGAAGGGCTTGTGAAATTACTTAGTAATCTAGATGATAAATACTCAGTTGTGACAAATGGGATTAGGCTGGGCCAAATCAGGGTGGAAGGGGGGATTTGTGAGGTCTAAAGGGAGCTCTACTTTTCTGACGCTGCAGACTGCTTAAATAAAGAGCCAAAAATAACACTGGAGAGGTAAGGCTCACTGAATCATGCCTTTGGGATGGATGACGATGAAAGATGGGGAGATAAAAAGCACTAGCGCTGTTACTATCAGTTATGGTGGTAATCCAGTAATCTGGTGATTATTTTAATGATTAAGTCAGTTTGTTTTTCCTTTTTTCAACAAAAGTGCAAACAATAAAAATGGATCTACCTGAACTCTAGCAAACCATACATAACCTTTCAAATCTTTCAAAATACTGAATTTAAATGGGTGTGTCTATCAAGCACTGTTTCCTACAGTAAGAGAAAGCAATAGGAGAATTTAAAATATTATCATGAAAATGGCCAAATAATTACTGATGATTTATCATAAAGGTATGTTTTAATGGCATATTCTTCTAATTATCAAGTTTAAGTAATTGTAACAGCTTCAGCGAGCATTCAGCAGTGCTGTGGCTTGAACACTGGTGACAGGTGGTTTGGTGCTAACATATGACCACACTTTAAACCTTTGTAAAGCAATTTAGGTCCGATTTGGAGTCAGTGAGTCATCTGTATAACAAGTGTGTGGTGGTTTGAGGCTGAAATAATCCATCCTGGTATCAGAATTTTTAGCTCCTTAACCTCTTTCTCCACTCATTCCTCAAAGCTGCACACATCAGTTTGTCAAATTACACTTTCTGCTTCATGAATTTCAACAGGAGTGATACTGCATTTCCTGGTTTTACTGTGATTACCAGCTTCACGTTCAGGAACCAAAACAAGCCACCACACTGCAATCTATGGATTTGGCTATATGGAATCTTTCCGGAGTCCTATGATATTCGAGCTTTTATGGTAGATACAGTCATACATGCCGACTCACGCTGTCTCTGATGAAACAATTTATCAGTCAAACTGAAGGAATTCATCTCAGCCACTGTCTTCTACCAAAAAATTCCAAGTTGCACAAATGACTGCGTTCATGACTTCAATTATGTTTTATAATGAAAGGACACAGTGTCACATAACACACACAGACATCTGACTGCAGTCATTTTTATTTTATGAAAAAGCAAGCATTAGATATGATTCAACTCATACATTCTGACAAAATGAAACATTCATTTAATTCATTAAATGGGGTCACATTCAAAAGCAGGGCATCTTAAACATTCAGATTGTGTGACATTTATAACCAGATGCAGTTTATAGGCCAAATAAACACTCTGTTCCCTGATCTATCTTCCATTGCTCCACAAATACTTTTTGCAAGGAAAGCTTTGTGGATTCAGTTAGGATGGTGCAATTTTATGTCAGCATACATCAGAATGAAAAAGTAATCAAGCTAAACATACATGAAATTATGATTTGAAAGGAAGAAACATCATCAAAGTCAGTGGTCAGAAAGCTCGTTTTTTTAGATAGATTTTATATGAAAGTATAATTTTGGGATTATACAAACATGACAAAATATGGCAAATCTAGTACAGCAGCATAGGAAATACATAAACACTGTGTCTACAGTAAAAAATAGCATCAGGAGACATCATCCTTACAGTATCATAAGCACTGTTGCCTATGGCAGAGTACATAGCTTATCAATACATTTTACGATGCACGTACATAATTTGCAAGAGGCTACAAGTATTTTTAACATCAGAGCTAGTAATATTCCACCTGCATACCACAATTCTTAGTGTTAGACCGTTTAAGTGACTTACATTTACAAAGAGAGTATGAATCATAATGGTACTGAATCATACACAATTATACTAAGATGATATGCTTTTCAGATATTTCCAGATATTCCATGTCCATACAACATCATTATCACTCAACCTACTTCATGTAATATATGAAAAAGATGAGAAAAGCCTACAACTTTCAACTATCTTTAACCCCTGAAAGCTTTCACAAACCTTGACTCAAAGATACATGCATACAAAATCAACTCAGCCATTATCTTAGCCGCTTATCCTTCTGGGTCATGGGGTGTGCTGGAGCCTATCCTAGTGGTTATTCAGTGCAAATTTAACTGTATAGAAAAATTCAACCACTGAATCCCCATTTTGAGTTGTGCAGTTTAGTGTTAATACATGTGAATGCTTTTAATAAAAAACTATAACTTTTATTCACACTCGACATTTAATCGAATCAGCAAAAATCAGTAGTTGTAATGATACAAAGTGACACGTTTTAGTGAACCATTATAAGGCTTGCATACAATAGTTCTAATAAATGCTAAACTACTACTGTGTGAGGTAGTGGCAACATAATAGCATTTAAAATTCAGTGGGTTAATGCTTGCTTAGATTAATACTAATGACAGTGACACTATATCTCTATACCACTATAACTATACACTATTTTCCATAGATTTTATTTTTTCCCAGATCAGGTAACACATTTAGAAAATACAGCACACTTAAAATGTTTAGATGACTTTCATGGCCAAAATAGTTCTTGACCATCTAAAATAAAAAAAGAAAGTCATCAGCCATTCTTCTGGCGATCCAAAATGTTCTGTATGTCTGATAAAGTATATGTGACTGATGGTAGTGTAACCTCTCATAAATGTGCCATTTCAAATAAAAAGTGATGGCATACATCCAAACCAGTCTTCTATTTTAAGAAATACAGAAATAAATGGAATATGAAATGGTATATGAATGGCTACCGTGTGTGTGAGAAAAGCTTGTAGAAAACCTAACAGATGGACGTACAGGAAGGAAAAAGCATGATTGGAATAACCCCACAGGCGCAGCTTTGGGACAGTTCCCTGTAAATCCACAGCAGATTTGATGGCTCTCTGGATTCAAGCGTCATAATCTCTCTGACTTCAACCTTTAACCATTTTGAGGCGGGGCGAGGACGTGTAGACCCTGTCTGGAAAATTCCACGCAAATTCGCAGAAGGGACTTGGCAAAAACCAGATCAATGAGATGCATTGAAAGGGGTTGTTTAGGGCCTGATCTTAGAGCAGTTAAATATAGCCTTGCCCCAGCAGAAGCTGACTGTAATGTATTTGTACTGTATTATGCTGAACCTAGTCTGTTTATTATCACAAATCTGAGTGCCAAATCAATAACATTTTTATAAGACAAGTACTCAGTCTCAATGTTTTGTTGAAAACAAATAAGCAGTATTTCTTATTGCTACACTCTGTATGGTTCGTAGAGCTACAGTACTTAGAAATTCATTACTTAATTTGTTTTTTATAAGTCAAAAGGTTTCAGGCTCACTTAAACAGAACTCTTTGTAATGGGTGTTTGTTTCACATGTTGCTCAGTAAAACATTAAGGCAATTTAACTTTACAATATACCATTAACATGATAATCATATGGAGAGGATGTACAGAGAAGGTTCACTAAGTTCCTATACTAAACAAATACTGATAAGAGGATAGACAAAAACAGAAAACAGAAAGACATCAAACATAAATATTCATCTACAGCAAACTTTAACATTTTAAATATGTCGTGAGGAGGTTGTATAAAAATAAATGCTATCCCTTGAAGATACTGCCGAGAAACAGGTATTTTTCTTCTCTTGTGATTTGTCGGGAGGCTTGCAGTTCTCAACGTCCAGTGTACACAAAATCTGAAGAAAAGGAATAATGGATTTATGTATGTGTGTATGTGTATATATATATATATATATATATATATATATATATATATATATATATATATACACACACACACAAGTATGCCAAAGTCTACTCAATAAGCAAAACACCAACTGGTGTTAAAGGGTTAAATAATGTGCTTAATGCTTCAGGACAGTACTGAATATGCACTTTGTCAGGCCCATTGCACCCTTCAGTCAGTGGAAATGGACCACCATAGATCCACCACTTACCAGATTATATGATGGTGGATGGTTTGACATTCTGAAAGCCCATAAGACGTTACTTTGACATCATTGTCATATCTCAATCTTGAATGATTATGCAAGGCCACACAATACTGTCTTTATCTGGCACCCCCAGGGCAGTCCACAGGGGGCATGCATACATTGGACAAACCCTTTAATAACAGTTCCAAGGCTGAGCTGCTCTCTCTCCCTTTTAATTAACGCTGCAATCTATTAAGTCAAACGATTGTTTATCTGCACTCTTTTTAGAACCTGCAGGGTAATTATTTGATAAATAACAGGTAACAATTCATCCTGTTTGGTGGCAAAATGCATGCAAATTTAAAATAGTCTAAAACCATAAGGCTAAAATACTAAGTTGGTTACTTTAACTCCATTCTCCAAAAGTAATATACCTTTTTTTAATCTATTCGCCACATGAGACAGACATGCTAAAATGGTTCTAATACTTCCATATAAAGTGTCCTGATGTAGCAATGACTGTTTTAAAGAATATTTAGGACTGTTTATGTCCCACAAGTGGTGCAGTTTAGAAAACATATATATTGCAGAAACAAAACAAAATAATACAAAAACAATGTGTAATAAAGTGACAATAAATTAATTATAATTAAAGTACCCTGCACAATTTCACTCTCTCTGCCTGTAATACCATAGCAGGTGTGACTCACCTTTATAGTAGTCAGGGTTGAAGTTCTCATAGATGTGATAAAGTGGATTCTCCTGTTCACAGCGAAGCTTCCTGGCCCTCAGGACATCACGCACACACTGATGGATGTACATATACTGGCTCTAGGAGGAAGTTGAAGCGGGGATGGTGGGCAGATTTTTATGAATGGTGCATCTTTCACTGGCCCTGCAGTGCAAGCTTTGCAGGTATACTGTAATGATTCAGCAGCCGCTAACATTGAACTACTGCTGTGCTGATTCAGGAGGTATTTAATGTGGGGAAAAAATACTTAGCTAATTCACTCTGCTGGTGTAACTGAAGATACAGTTAATAGCTAACAGCTATAATGATGCCTACCTCAGTTTGCACCATGTGCGAGCGGTGTAGTCGGAGGTCAAACACACAGCCGTAAATATCAATAGTGCCATGGCTATCTAGCTGCTGCAGAGCACGGTCCAGAACGATGAAGGTGCCTGTACGCCCCACTCCAGCACTATTGAAGGACAGAGACAGAGAGCTTCTATAAGCCTACCCTCTGTAATTTATATTTTACATACATAGTAAGACATAAACATATCCTATATTACTAACATATCATTGCTGCCCTAAAAAATGTATTTTCTTTTTTTCTTTTTATTTTTCTACATCATTTGAGCAGAGCAGTCATTGTGAGACTTTTACGAGGAATGGAGCAATAGAAATGATCCAAATTACTTGGAATAAAATCTCTTAACATTAAAGAATGCTCTTCCCTTCTCCTGTAAAGTTTTCTGGACAGCAACAATATACCGTATAATCAGGAATCAACTGTTTAAAGGAGAAAAAAAACGAATGATACACAGGTGGACGGATGGAAGGATGGATGATAGCTGGAGACAACAAATTGGGAAAAATGCTTCCTGTACCACCTCCCAAGAAATGACCAATAATGAAGGATGGCTGAAATGATATTGTCAAGCACTGAAAAGACTGTTGCAAGGGGAGCAGTTAGTGAAGATAGATAGGGAAAGTGAGAAAAGGTCTAGCCTACGACAAGTAGACATCAATATATGCCATCTTTGAATTTGTGTGCACTGTTGTATGATGGAAATGGTAATTTGTTTTATTTGTTGATGTCTTAAGAAGGTATTAAAAAGCATTGAATTAGAATTTTTTAATTGTGCAGCCCTGCTACTGCTGTTTATAAATACAAATGTTTAATTGTGGTGCTCTACTAAATTAATTAAAGTGAAATTAAGTTATTGAAGCGTTTTCCAGTTAGGTTGATGGATGACATTACCTAGGTGTGTAAGTGTGCAAAGTACCTAGAGATATATACATATTCATAAACTGGTAAACTAATACAGTCTTGGAGCAGCATTCCTTTAACAGCTTGGGTGTAGGAGCATGCACCAAAAAAACTCTGACATCTGCTTGTGAAAAACCCTTGTCATTTATTTAACCTCCACGATTGTGTTTGCCCCTTTCTTATCTAGAATTTCAATCTGCCACTCTCTCTAGTTACCAGGCCCTATTCCTCACAACTGACTCTGTTGCTGCCTCTGAGATTCTAGTCCAATCCTTATTTCAATTGTTTGGTTTCAGAGCTTCCTTCAGTTTTAATCAAATACTTGTACTGTTCAATGGCTAAGAGGTTTCAGACGAATTATTCATGCTCTGACCCATTCATCATACTCTCCTCAGACTCCCCTCAGCCCTCCATCATTTTCAGGAAAGACGGAGCTGGGCCTTATGTAACTGAGGGAAGTAATATGATTAGAGCGGAAAGATTTAGCTTGATTGAAGAGGTTGCCTTTGCTCCCTTGATGATGGTCAGGTTCTCTTCAACTCTAACTCCTTCAGCCACTGGGAAATAAGTTTGCACAGGGCTGAGAAAAAATCCATCAGAAGTCACGGTAGATGCAGCTTCATGTAGCAGATACTAATTGGATACTGATGACAAATGGGAGACAAGTAAAATGGCAAGTATGATATACACTATTCTGGGCACTTTTGCTATTGGGAAGCCAGAAAGGAGCTGGAGATACACAGTGATTCTGGTTAAGAAACATTGTGCTCATATTCAGAGCTTGATATTACTTTTTCCTCTTTTTACATATTGGAAGTGTAAGGTGGAATATTTAGATCACCAATTAATTTTAAATTATGAGGACTGGGTGCACGTGGATATTCTTTGCAGAACAACTTTTATTTTCAGCAAAATCAGCAGTGTCTGCAGTTGTCCATTGGTGCCATTTTGTAATCAACTCTCCTGCCTTCCTTTCCACATTTCCCTGAAATTGTGCGTAATTTACAGTCCTTTTGCCTACTCAGAACCAGTCCCTGGTTGTGTAACTAACTGCTAATGCTTTGCTTGACATATTTGGAGGCAAGGTGAAGCTGTAATAATGTGCCAGTTCTGCTATGGTTTTTCTATACTGCTGATGCCCTTTCATTTAAGGGGACTTTGGGTTTAATCTGGGCCGAGATATACGATTATTTGCACAATCCAGGTGCATGCTGCCTTATGCACATTCTGTCAAGGGTGGGAACAGAATATACTGGTCCATGAGCAAATCTGACCACTTCAAATGGTGCCTCTGGCTGATGCCATGGTTCAGATACACGCCACAATCTACAAGGCCCATTTGTGCTTCCAGTTTGTGAACTAGGAATTGTCCCACAAAGGCCAAGTGCATGGCATATAAGCAACAATCTGTTTTCTTAGGACATGTGGGCATCACAGAATGCCTGTCATGGATTTTTTTTACTCCATTCTGGATTCACTGGTGCCTTCTGTTTTCTAGTTAGTTGCAGGTGTTAGACTTAGCCCATTTCTTCAATATCAACATAGGTCGTCTTATGATAACCGTGTTTGCCTTGTGCTCTGACCCCTGATTTAAATTATGACAATTCAGATTTTGCCCAACTGCCTACACGAATACATCCAGCTACTCCTTGGCCTCACCCTCCCCTTCATTACAACAGGCCAATCCTTCAACAGTGTATCATTTAGTTTCAGAAGACATTTTCTGAAGAGCTTAAGAGCTTTTTTGAATTCGCTGCCAAATATACACAAATAGTAATAGATGGTGATCTTTACAACTGGGATTAGATACATGTATGTCATTAATCAGTTTAAAATTTAATTAGGTGGCTACTAAAGCACTTCACTTCTCGTTGCAGGACGAACATGCAATTTGTGTACTTTGTGTGATTCACTCCACGTTTTTAGACGTCACTTTTCATTAACATAACGGAGAACTAAGAGGCACATGTGCTGCGGGCAGATGAGGAGGAAAAGCAATAAAAGGAGGAAAAGGTAATGAGGGAAATCACAGCAAGTTCAAAATCCAATAACATTATTTGCTACTGCTGGGGGAGACGGAGGAGCATGCTCCCCACAGTGTAACAACCTCTGGATATGAAAGTGTGGAGGTGTTTAAATATGAATTCATATATGCACTTAGTGCATCCATATGCTTTCTGATGTATACAAAGCACCAGTGAAAAGTTTGGATACATCAACTCATAGATATGCTTTATACATGGAAATATGCAATGACCAAAAAAGTGCTAAACAAATCAAACCTCATATTTTGGATTCTTCAGTCTAAATCCTTTTTTGCATACTCTTGGCATTCTTTCTGCATTCTTTCAAGCAGCTTACTGAGGAGCCAGCTGAAATGCTTTTCTAAAAGGTTTGTAGAAGCTCTGCATGCAAAGCACTACTTACTAACAAAATCAAATGTTTAAGAATAAGCATTTACATTAATATGTCTTTCAGATTATGAAAAACACTTATTTAATTAGGTGTGTTCTAACTTTTGACTGTTATTGTATTACATTAATACTCAGTACTCAGTACTGATAATGAAGTTATAGTTAACCTGTGCACTTATTTACACTTTGTTTAGTAAGTGTATGTAACTGTAAACTACTATTTGAAGTATTATATGGCTTGTTCTCCAGATTAAGCCTAAACCTAAACAAAAGAGGTTTTGTAATTGTAAAGTACAACTGCAATTTAGACTGGGTTTAATCCATGTCCACAAAACCAGCTCAAAGTAATATGAACAGAACTCTAGAGTATGACATTATGAGTCACAGAGAACTAGCGGACTAGCGGTCTAGCGGATTAGTGCATGTTTTGTGCATGTTTTTCGGCTTTAAACACACCTGCAGTGGACCACAGTTGGACCTGAGCTTGGTGCCCTGTCGATGTAATCTCGGACTGTCCTCACAAACTGAACGAGAGACTGCGTTGTTTCGGGCACACCATGGTCCGGCCACACCGTGTAATGGAAGTGACGCACTATCCTGGGGTAGCTCAGCTGGCCTTCCTAAAATCACACCCACAAAAAGAACAAACCACAACTAATCAGGAGTCACAATGTCTACATGCAGTTATAGACATTTATGTACTATCCAAAACCACCAGTTAACCTATGCCTGTTTTCTGAATTTTAAAATTTAATGTTGAAAAAAGTACAAAAGTGGTAAATCTGAAAAAAGACATTTTGCCTTAGACTGACCCTTTCCACCATGAATGTGTTTTAGTCCAAAAGCTTATCTCAAAACCCTTAAAAGGTCTCAGACATCAGGCAGTATATCTGTCAGCATTCATATAATAACTTTCTATGAAGGAGCTTTTAGAGGCATTAAATGCTTCAAACATTTGGTTCCCATCTGGATTTGACTAGAACAGAGCATTTCACATCCAACCACTCTGAATGACTTCACTTACATCTCAACAACTGACTTATGAAGAAATTGTCCTTTAATAGAAAATGAATTTTGCTTAAAATACATGCATAAAATGATGCTAATATGATGATAGCATTGTAATGTTATGTTACTTTACAGGTTTCAAATAAGTAGGAAAATCAGAAAAATTAATTACATTTAAATAAATAAGTAAGAAAGCAAACAAACATTTAGACATGTCCAAAAGAATGAATAGAGCTGTAGATAATTCAGAAAAAAACTTGATGGTGCAAAGATAATGAAGTAATAATTAATATCTAGAATGCCTCTTCTTTCAAAAGTGGTGATCAAATCTCAAGGCAGACAAATTGTTGGAAGTAGAAAAAGTATACATTTATCATTTAATAATAACTTTCCTCCCAAAACAGTTAAAATATTGCATAAAACATCCAAAAAAACTTTGTGTTTAGTTTATGACATTTAAATTGACATTATATAAGCTATTATTGTACTTACAATTACGAATATTATTAATATGACTAGTGACGACTCTTGTAAATCTTTTCTTAAAACTCATCTTTTTAGGGATGCATGCTGTTGTTAATTTGCTATTCCTTGTCATTTTTATTCTTATTGTATGCTAATTTATGTATTTTACTTTATAACTATATGTCTTTTTGTGTTTAACACATTTTATTTTCCTTCGTTTTTTTTTAATCGCTTTAAGATTTCGAAGAAGGCACTTAATAAATAAACACTGTTGTTGGTAAGCATACATTTCATTATAATTCTGTGTGCACACAAATGTTCCTCTTTCAGTCCCTTTCCCACTCACACAGCTTATCTTGAATTCGCGGATAGTCCACTCTGACAAGACTGATTCGGACAGCATGTGCACCACGAGGTCACCATAGTACAGCGGCTCCTTGTCCATAGGCCAGTACTGATCACACTTTACCTGCATGACATGGATCCAGGCACACACAACACATACATACACATAAACACAAAGACACATGTCAGAAAGCATGCAGCAAGAGTTCACCTCAAAATAGCAGCTTTGGCTCCATAATGAACAGTTCTATTTCTGCTGACTGATTATGCTAATGACCAACCACTGGCATCCCTTGTCGATCTCCTCCTCTCTTCCTTCTTGTTGTGTGTGTGTTTTTTTTTTTTACTTTGGACCATGCGTTGCCATAGCAACAGTGATGCCTCTGTACTCACCCTTCCCTTCTCAACACACTGCGTCACCATGACGATGTTGTGCACGTTCTGTTCCCACACCATTCGCCAGAAATCATCTTTGGTTCCTGGGAGCGGCCCCTGTGTGGCAATGTACTCGCGCCTGAAATTGTTCCCCTGAGGCAGAAAAGCAGAGAGGATCTCTATTTCATATCATATCATTCATGTGTCTTTATTATGTTAGCTAAGATTAGAAATATTTGTGAAAATGGCTGCCAATATTAAATACTTCACGGTATGCAATCTGACAGGTTTCTATAGTAGAGGAAAGTACTACAGTCCGCATTGAACTGTTCACATTTTTATGCTTATTAAACATAATACTGCTCTGAAAAAGTTATGCAATGAATTTACTTCATTCAAATGTGTACAGTATTTTCATAAAATACATTACATCAACACATCTTTCTATTTCAGTTTACTTACATCATCTGTGATGATGTAATATATTTACCTATGATTTATTTATTATATTCAAGGACAGTAAAACTCATCTTGTAAAGAATACTAAACCAAAATAATTGTTTTTCATTCATTCAAGTATTTCACACAGATAAAACACTGGCTCACACACAAGAGACCAGTGTTTTTTTTCTCCGTTCAGACACAAACACTAACGTTACTGTTATACCAATACAAGTCTTTTTGCATGTCTCTACACTCACCTACAGTTTTAAATCTCTAATGGATGAGTGTGTCTGCTGAAAACCTAAATGTAATGCATACAGACATATACTGTGTGTTGTATTACACAGCCTCTCCATGCTCTGGTGGAAGCTTGAACATTATTAAAAGCAGGACTGTCTTTGCCAAGCAAATCCTGCACTCAGGAAGGTTTTGTTAATTAGGTGAGTAGTTAAATCAGGTGAGATGGGGCAAGGAAAATACTAAAATATCCATGGCAGGGGCACAATTACTGCTATAAGTCAAAATAAATTTACCTGCTTCATTCATATGACCATAGGCACATAAGCACCTATAAGCATGGCTAAGCACATAAGCACCTATAAGCATGGCTAATCAGATTGTTCATTTCATATTTTTTCTGCAATAGCACATCATGAAAATGGCCAAACAACGAAACAACTGAGCATACCATAACAAGTAATACATGCAACAGATTTTGCATGATCAGCCAATGTAGGTACCAGAAAAGGACAAAGAAAAACTTCCCTCATGACATGTATCAAACTTGAAGAAAAACTAGGCTGCAGAGACATTAGCCTGTAAAGTCTCAAATAGGCCCCACAACTTCAATTTCTCAAGAGTACAACAATCCAACTGATCCAAAGCTTTTCCAGATTTTCCAGTGATTTCTACACAAATTTTGTTTGCACCTGCTGGTGGAACCAAATGATGAAACAATTGCCCTGAATTTTGCTCCAAGTTTGCTTGAGTTCCTTTGTTGTTGCACCAGCCTCACAGAGCACCAAATGAAACATCTATCTAAATGAACATCACACTCCCCATGCAAAAAGCACTCATTGGTTAATGGCTATGAAGAGGATGAATCAAAGACTCATAGTTGACAGTAGGGCTGGCTTAAACAGCATTTTACAGACTTCAAATACTTGTGGGTACTTCTGAATCAGTACCTGCATACCCATTGTCAAAACCAGCCTTAGAAACAATATTTGCATTTCACAATTAATCATAATTTTTCATTACTACAGTTCAAAAGATATCCAGTAGGCAGCAAAGACACTTAATAATGTGTACTAGTGATGAACCAAAAAATGCGATGTAAGGCACATATCCTACCAAACGGTACTCAGGAATGACTATAATTCCTTTTTTTGAGATAATTATCAAACTTGCCATGCTACACCTGCCTCTTATCGCAAATTTTACAGTCAGCTTTTTCTTATTGTCTGATCATTTTAAGTGCTCCCACCTATGCTCTTTTAAATTAAATAAAAGTTGTGCAGTTTGAGGGCGAGGTGATGTGGATGACTGGCATAAATGCATAAATGATGCATTTAGCTATAATTTATTTTTAACATTTTCCATGTTAATTAAAGTGATAAAATTTATTGTACATTTAGAAAAATGTGTGGCTTCAGAATATTTAATACAGGAATTAATAACAATGTGACAAATCTATATTTGAGTATTCAAATTATTTGGGCCAGCCCTAGTTGACAGATCTTATGAAGAGAACTTGGAAGGTTGCTATGAAACACCTGAACCCTTCGAGAACTTACTGGAATGTAGCTGGCATTGATGAAGTCGGAGCACGGGTCGTCCTCCAAGCATGAGAGTTTTACCCGGGTAGAGTCATCTAAAGACAAAAAAGAAAACAACTATGTATGTGACTAAATGCTCGTGATTGTTTGCACATGTTAGCAGGATGAATTAAGAAGAAGAATGTGGATAGGAACAGAACAGAATTTATTCATCTTTAAGTTCTCCAGTGTAATAAGTTTGACAGAACAGGGAGGCCTCATAACTTGCATGATTTTATAGATCGCGTTCGACTTCTTGAATGCTGAAACGTTTATTCGTTTAGACTCTTCTCAAGAGCATTTCCACCACTGATTGCTCATGTGGCCACAGCTTTTCCTTTAATACTCCACTTGATTCCCTCTCTCTCCACTTACACGGCAGTATATTGTTGTATCGATTCTTGCAGCGATTCTCAGGTAGACGAGCAGCATCCAGAGCCTGGTTGCGGCCCACATCCTTCAGGTCCTGTGAGAAAGGAAGGAAGAGAAAGTGAAATTAAGGAAATGTTATTATGCTGCTACCTGCAACAGAACTTGTATCTCCAAAATGGTAACTTTACAGGTGAATGTATTAATGTAAAGTTATGACCAGTGTTGGGCACCCCTGCTCAAATGACACATTTTCTTAAGTGAAAGTAAGTTAACACGTGTACATTTTAATATACATATTAATTATAATATGTATATCAAAAAAAAACAATATTAATCAGAGAACTGAAAAAAAAACAAAATGTTACCAATATGTTAAACTCAGCAATTAAATAGAAACTGTGATCTAAAATTTACAGAAAAAAGGAGTACTTAAGTTTGTTCACTGTAGAGGATGTGTTAACTTATTTTCAGTCATAAAATAAGCAAAACATTATTTGACTGAGGGTATTTCAACTTTTGCATATGACTATGTTAATGTAATACAATTTTATTCCTTGTAATGCACCTCTGGACATTTATATTGGTCCATTTTTCATTAAATATAAAGGGCAGCTTTCAAATGTGTGATAGCAACAATATAATTTATACAGTTAATCTACACAGGTCTTTACACTTTCTCAACACGACCCCACATTTTTATATATTTTATGCATTTTACTGTCAGTCTCATGTCATGTGTATGTATTATACTGTGTTGTGTGTTCATTGTAGAGATGAGCAATATGGCAAAAAAATGGCAAGATACTTCAAGATATTTTTTTTTTACATCATACATCATGTTTTCATGATACATGATAAGTCACAATATTTTTTTTCCTTACATCTGATCCATTGGAACAAACAAAGTAGTGCCACATTTAACAGATAATATCAAAAACTATGAATCCAATGATTTGTGTTCAACATTTCACATACTGTACTGCACTTAATCTAATTAAATAGGACTAATTATGCTCTCTTTGCAATCAAATGTGCAGTTGCGAACTGTATTTAAAGTACTGTCAATATCCATGATTCGCTCAGAAGGCATATTGTGACATATTTATTACAATAACATTAAATATTGTCATATTGCCCAGCTCTGAGTAATTGTATTGTAATTTGTATTGTAAATTAGTGTACTACATTGTCTTGTCATGTACTATGTGGTCCAGTAAACACAGGCCCCATCTTGCATGTCGTATCTGGAGGAATATTGTTTAGTTCCACTGACTACTTGTACATGGATGGGAAGACAGTACATTTATCTTATATTTATTCTGCACTTAGCCAAAGTTATAAGAGATGCCTTTCTTTTGCCTTAGTATAAGCCAATTCTTTACAAATACAACAGTGCTGCTTCCAATAGCTGCCAATACTGCTGATTCAGCCAGGCATTGTAGTAACAAATAGCAAACAGACATTTAAATTTCAAATGCAGTCCGCCCCTTACCTCAAACTCCTCGGAGAAGAGGTAATTAGAGTCAGCCTGAAGCTTGCCGAGATGAGACTCAAAGTGGGCCACTTTAACGGGGCTGATAAAACACAGTTACCAATCTTTATCATGGAGTTGCATTAAAAAAAAAAAAAAACATTCATGGGCTTTTTATGTGGAGAGGGCAAATGTTTACCTGGATATGCGGCGGTTACTGCAAAAAGAGAAGAAGAAAAAAGAGTAAGATTAAATTCTGTTCATGCCCGCCCGCTTATCTCAGCTTCTCACAAGCTGGCCCTCTTCACAGCCAATATCAGAGATCCAAATTAACTTCTCAACCTATTTGTGTTTGTTGCACATTGACATAAAGCCCACAGTAAGCATGTTCAAGCCTTTGATTAAGGAGTATAACATGCAACCAAAGTCTTACACTGACCAAGGCGAACTAAAACATATCCTGGAATTGGCTAATTGAAGGAATATTCTTGGATTTTTCAAAACATACTTACAAAGCAAGCCATTGGCAGTGGCTTCAGAATAGTTTTATAGTATTTACTGAATAGTTCATAGTAGTTACTCAACAATAAGGCTTTAGATTAACAACTGATAGGCCTGCAGCGATCTCTTTCTTGCAGTCTCTCTCAACCCATCTCTATCTCTTTCTCCAAGAACATAGCTGAATGACTAGAAGGGGACACGATCAATCCATCTCTTTCTCATTCAGGACAAGGGTTTTTGTGTTTAAGTCATCATTAAGACTGTAAATCACATTATATCTAACATTATGTCGTCAATAGGACAGACGCCTTGAGACTAATTTATTTCTTCACTCCGTTTAAGGCTTCTCACCCACAGCTAATTGAAAATCGAGTCAAAAGTCTATAAATTCTAAACTTTCAATTCATTCCTGACTTATATTCACAAGTAGAAGAGATCATTTATTGTTATAAATTTGATAAAGTTATTACAGTGCATACAGCCCTCTTTTTTTGTCACTGTTTTACATTGGAACGAATAGAAAAAAGTCAGAAGAGCAGACACAAACCTGTCACTACAGAATGTAAATGTAATTCATCACAACGCCTGTGCAGACATGCATATTAACATATTTACAAAAGGAATGTGTCATACCTCCTGACCCCCATGTACATCCCTGAAGTTGGCACCTCCTTCCACATACTCATCCTCACCACTGGGCTTTCCTGCACCGCTCTGCATGGATGGACATACACAAGAGCATTAATTAGGTCAGGTACAGATGTTGGATGATTAGTTCTAGATCACAAATGCCACTCCAACTCATTCCAAAGGTTCTGGATAGTGCTCCATCACTCCAAAGAATATAATTCCACTGCTCCACAGCCCACTGCTGAGGGGCTTTTTGGCATTGGGCATGGTGACCTTGGTCTGCTACTCCAGAGCGTTCCATTCTACTGACAATGCTTTTCTATGGAGATTTTACAAGCTGTGAGCATGCAATTCAATGCATGTGTCAGCAATGGGTACTCCTTATATTAGCTGTCTGGATATTGTTAGTTATAGAGTGTATGTTCCAAGTATCACGTATTGTTGTATGAGAAAATTTTGAATACCCCAAGTCAAATGACATTCTCTGTTGATTTACACGTCCTCTACAAGAAACCTAGATATGGAAATTTTGCACATAAAACAAACGTTTGTACAGACCACATTTTATTTTTTCCCAATATGTTAAATTCAGCACATAAACCCTAATTGTGCATTAAAATGTGCAAAATTATGTTCTCCATAGAGGATGTACATTTATTTCCACTTAAAGAATCAACAGAACATGTAATTTGATCAGAGGCAACCACAAGTTTTGCATATGACTATATGTAAGCACCTATATGTAATAGTAATATTCCTCATGTATATTATTAGGCATGTGACAATCCACAAAAACACTCAATGGTAGGGCTTTTGATTCTTAAGTCAGGGTCACCAACCCCTGGTCCTGGAGATCTACCCTCTTGAGTCTAGATCCAGCCACAATATGCCACATTTGCTCCAGCTAATTAACTTCCTCAGAAGTACTTGATTGGCTGGAGCAGATGCATTCAAGTTAGGGAAAGAGGAGGCAGCATTTTAGTCTTAGGTTATCCTTGCAATATCTCTATGTGCTTTGCATGCTACTATGCATTTCACCATTGCTTTGGATAAGAGAATCTTCTAAATGAGTAAATGTAAATGTAAAATGCATAATTCTGTTCAAACTCATGAGCTGGTACCTGGATAAGAGAATCTTCTAAATGAGTAAATGTAAATGTAAAATGCATAATTCGGTTCAAACTCATGAGCTGGTACCGTGATTCAACTTAATTTTACAATACAACAAAAAAGGGGTAAGTTACATGCTAACCACAAATTAACATGCGAGCCACAAACTAATATACTATGAGAAGTTTGCTTTCTTACCCTGTATTAAATTTCTAATCACCAATATATGTCCCCCATGTATTATGTATATTTAACTACTCATGTGCAATAATGTGCCCTTTTTTTGAAATTTATGTAAGTACCTACATGTAATGGGAATTTTCAAAGCCTAACTTTAAACATAACCTTGTTTTTTTTGTTGTAGAAAACATGAAATTATAAATGTAGCTTTTGTAAAGAAGTACAGAACCATGTTGTTGGCCCTACGATTGTAGGTTAGCTCTTACTACAAAGTCAAAACATTTCGTCCAGAAAATGTAGGAAAACAAACAAACACACACACACACACACACACACACACACACACACACGTGTTCACACACGTCACAAGCAATCTTTTACGTGCTAAACCCTGGTGAACGATTACCATGTTAGACCATACGCAGCAGCCTATTAGATAGATTTAATTAGTGACAGGAGCTGGATCTCTTGTTTCTCCATCATTTAATTATCTGTTTCTCCAGATGCTTGGCTTTTCCTGTTCCTCTTAACAATGACCCCTCATTAGCCGCCGCTAATGGCTGGCCCCTAAAGAGGAAATGGGCGTTACATGTTTGTGTGGGTTCTTGTGATGTTCACGTGTATGTATATGCATGCACTCACACTTTGCGGACCCTCTGCCTGTAGATCAGTAAGGTGGTGATAGCGATCATCATACCGATGAGAAACAGGCCGGCGCTGATGCCCTCTACGATCCCACCAAGCAGCTCTGATGGGGGGGGGGGAAAGATTAGTTCTGCTTCTGCATCACAGAAATAAGTAAAGAGATAAGCAGGCAGCGTTTCTGGTGCTTTACCTGCTTGTGTGCGCAGAGGAAGGGAGAGGTAGGTGTCACTGAAGAGGGGATGGGAGACCTCCTTGTTCTCATCATCAAAGAGTTGGGTGAAGGCTCGAATGCTTAGTCTGTGAAAGACAACAACTCTCAAATTTATTTTCATTGGCTTGGAACTGCTATTCATTTTCAGTGTGATGTAACGAACATGTAAGCAAAGGAAAATTTTGCAAACGCAAATCTCATTTTTCACTGAACTATTACTTATGTTACAATTTTCTTACATGTTATTTTTTCCCACTTAGAGGTCCACTTATAATATTTCTGTCATTATTCACTTTTCCATGACCATTTTTCAACCTGTCATTATACTTTAGTATTAAACTGGCTGTTTTTGTTACTATGATTTTAAGATTGATATATATAAAAGACATCTGTTCTGATTGGCTGCCCTGTATTGTGTCTCATTCAAAAATCAGTCCAGGCTGACACATTCTTTGTAACTTTAATGTGAATTAGTGGGGCTAACTGCTATAGTCTAAATAGGTGGATATATATAAATGCACTGGTTTTTGAGACACAAACAATGAATGCAAAATTAGCCTTTTTTACAAAAATAAGGAGAAACCAGTTTTTTTCATGATATGGGCCCTTTATGGCACAGTTAAATTCTGTATTTAGAAAAGCCTAACTTTTGCACTGTATCAGCTACAACATATTTATTTGTTTATGTCAGTAGCACCTGTAGGCTGTTCTGGATTTCAGGGGTCCATCACAAAAGTAGTTTTCATGTTGTTCAGCCTCTAGGTCTTGTGTGCATACTCCACCCAGCTTCTCCATACCAGCTCCGAGGTTGATTTTAAACACCTCATTCCTCCCATTCAGCTCCTCTGCACACTGGCTCTGAAAGTAGCCGGTCTGGTAGACCCTGATGGTGCTGTTGCGCTTGTAGTCCAGGTAGGAGGGGAGAGGATGCCTGTGCTCTGGCAGCTGGGACTCAACGTCTGGAAATTTTAGTCAGGCTTGTAATTATGAAGGATTTATGGGCAAGTTGATTGTGTACTTTTATGGTTATGTTTACAGTAAGTATTGTATGGAATTTACTTAATCAGATACATCCAATGTGTGATGTGTACAACTAATGTGTACAATTTCCACATCAACACAATTTTGTCTGTTCAGACAATAATTGTGTTGATGTATTTTATTCATGTGGAATATACTTCTAAATCAAGATAAGTCATTACATTTTTCTGTGTACAATTTTGTGGAAATGCATCAAATATGTATCTGATCCAGGCTTACACATGTTTCAAATCTGATTGGAAAAGATCAAACACCTTTGAAAACTGTTATTTGTCACATTGGGCAAGAAATCTGATTGGTTACTTCAAACCTATGTCTCATAACGCTGCATATGTCTCAACGTTAGTTAGGAAGGTTAGTTAGGAAGTTCAGGAGAAAGATGTACCATCTGATTCTTCAACGACAATGGTGAAGGAGCGGATGGCCCCATTGATGTCACTGAACCAGCTACAGTTGAATTTGAAGAAGATGGTGGACTGGGTAATGTGAGTGGCCCGCTCACTAACCCGTACCTGGGGGGGAGGCACTGGAGGCCCTGCAAAAACAAATACCTGAATGATGCACCATCCACAAGTGGATTTCAGGTCAGTATTTTTTTTAGTTTGCTGAGTAGACTCAGGACCACAAAATACTGGATAATACAAAATCTGATACACTAACCTTATCCTAATTAGCCAAACATGTTTGTGTGTCCAAAGTATACTGTAGTACTGCACAATGCTAACTGATGGCTATAAGCCTCCATTAGTGGCTGCAGCAAACTTTGGACACCAAACATGTCTTGGCTCACGGACTACATTTGAAGGGGATTTGTCACTGAAGTGCGCTTTTTTTAAAAAAAAATGGACTTTGTGTCTATTCTCAGAAAGCCTAATCATGCAAAACTGCCACTTATTGAATTGGTTTCCTGAATAGGCTTGGAGATCAGGGAACACAGGAAAACACGCAAATTTGATGACTCTAATGTCCCAGGACTGACTGGGTATACCTGGTTGTGCCCATGGGCAAGCCTCTCAACCTGTGGCCCTACTGCCCAAGGTGACAAAATGACAAATTTCCCTTGTAGAATCAATAAAATATATACCAATTTAATACTTTCAAATCAGGCTGGGAAACTTTCTTAGTAGTCCTGATGCAGATGCGGAATGAGTGTTTGGTTTGGAAACCCTGGAACAAATCTTGGCCCACTGATAAAGACTTACAGATTTTATGTGATGAAGACTTCATATAAATCATGGTATCTTTAAACAGAAGCACAATGACGATGAATCTCCTCCACCTGCATACACAAGGCAGATCTATCACAGCTGTCTAGAGCTTTGGTGAACTAATGTGGCTCTGTCTCTGATCTAATTCTGTTAGTTCTCTCTCTCTTCCTTGCTCCCTCACCCTGGCTCTCTGGTGTTTCTCTCTGCCAGATGAAGCTAAAACGCCACTGCTTCTCCTGAGCCAACTTCTGCCAATATTGCTCCTCCTTTCTCCCACTTTCTGTCATTCACCCGCTGACTTGTTCACTGTGTTCTTCTCCCAGGTGGCCTGGACTATTTGAGGGGATCTTTATTTAAGCCTGCCTGCCATGGAGCTCCCTAGATATGCCAGTTGGGGAGACTGACATGAGCTTTGGACCAGGGATGTTCCGCCTTTATGCTGTGCTCATATAATCCACCGGGACACTCGCTGGCCCTTAACGGTGACTTCAGGTCCTTCTGTGCTCACTTGCAGTTTTGTGCATTGTTCTGCTAGGCACCAGTCTTGTGACCTGATTTCCAGTATCTGTGGTTAGAATAGGATTACAACAGGGGTGTCCAATTTTATCCACAAAGGGCTGGTGTGACTACAGGTTTTTGCTCCAACAAAGCAGGAGATCACTTAATGAAATGTTTGAACACTAAGTAGGTAGATAGTAAATAAGTAGGGTCAGGTATGCTCCCACTTGTTTGGAGTTAAAATGTGCTGCCACGCTTGCCCTTTGCAGATAAAATTGAACACCCCTTGATAACACTAAAGGCCAAAAGCATGGAAGCAAGCAATTGTTTTTTAGATTCTAAAATAAGTTCCACCTTAGACAGTCAACTATAGATGATCCATATATGCTCAAATTATTAACAAGCTAACAAGCTGGTGGTAACTTTAGGGTAAGGGATAGAATCATGGTTAGAGTTAGGGTTAAGACCAGGGTTAGGATTAGGTTTTGGGGAGATGTTAGCCCTTAGAAGTCACCATTATTGGTAGCAATAAAAAAAGCATTTTGTAATTTCAAATGAATTACTTCTCACTTGTAGCTCCTTCCAGTGCAGATTATATTAACAACAAAATTTAACAACTACATAATCACTCAAAAAATAAAAAAGACAATATAAACAGGCACTAAAAGGAGAATTAAAATGTCAAAAAAAGAGGTGCGTTTTAATCTGGGCTTTAAGGGAGCAGAACAAAGAGCAGCCGAAGCAACTGTGATAAAGAGTTGCATAGTTTGGGGGTTATGATTTTCAGTGGTCGACAGCAACAAAGTATATGTACTTCATTACTGACCACCACTGATTTATGATCTGACCAAGGACTAACATCTAGAGTGGCAAGGACTGTTCCCTGGAGAACAGTTTATAGCGGTATCAATGGAAGTTTTGTGTTTATCTAAAGCAACAAAGTCCTGTGTCAACAGTCCAGGCTAAATTTGAGTACTGTTGCTTGCATGTGCATCCCTTTATGGCCACAATTAATCCATCTTCTGATGGCTACTTCCAGCATGACATTGCATCATGTCACAAAGCCAAAGTCATCTTAAACTGGTTTTATGAACATGACAATGAGTTTAATGTTCTTCAGTGGCCTTCTCAGTCAGCAGATGTAATCAAATAGAACACCTTTGGGACATGGTAGAACTGGAGATTCAAAGCACAAAAGTGCACCTGAAAAAAGTGCAGGAATTACATGATGTAACCATGTAAACATGGACCAGAATCTCAAAAGAATGTTTCCAACATGTTGTAGAATCCATGCCATGAAGAACTGAGACTGTTTTGAGAGCAAAGGGAGGCCCTACCCCGTGTTAGTATAGTGTTCCTAATAAAGTGCTTGGTGGGTGGATATTCACATATAAATTTATGTTATAGAAGACTGTGAACTAAAACTAGAAAAAAAAAACTAGAATTACCCAACAGGAAATTAACTATAAACTCTCCTTTATCTCTCTTGTATCTCACGTCTCCTTTTTTCTAATGCTATTTCTCCTAATGGATTTTATTAGCATTAATAATTTCCTCTGGGCACACAAATCTTTCTGTACATCTTAGAGGGTGTAACCTATTAATCTTATAATTCATTACCATATAAAGAAATGGCTTTCAAACTGCAGCATTTACTGAATGAGGTTTTAAAAACATGTCTTTGGGATTCTGTCAGAATAGATCGGTTCCTGTCTATAAGCTACAACAGCAGAAAGACAATTGAGACATAATTTTATCCATCTCTTTAACTGCTGATGTTCTATATAACAGAATTACTTTTCTCCCTAAAAAAGAATATCAAAGTCCATATTGCCAAAAAAAAATTTCTTTTGGATGATTCCTCTTTCTCTCACCTCTCCTATCTCCTTTATTTTTACCTCTTGAACTCTTCTTATAAATCATGTTGACAGAACTAGAATACTTAGCTTCAGAAGAACATAGAAGGGCTTTTTTATGACAATTGCCTTTACCAGAGTGTTTTCAACAAAAAACAATGGTTAATGATTGGATGATCAGATTAGACTTGCAATTTAAACTTAATTCTCATGGGAGTTTTACCATTAGAATTTGCAGTGATATCACCACTGATAACAAAAGCATGCTGTAATTCAAAATTATTTATTTCTCACTTACTGCTTATTATATGAAAAGTTATTGCTGTCTAGTTTTGCAGAAAGAAAAAAAAGCCTTCATATTTTTGCCAAAATTTGGCAATTTTCTGACATCAAAAGATCAAGTGCACTCGAATGTGCAAATGCAGAATGTAAATAGAACATAAAAGAAATTAACTGCGTAGCTCACCGGGTAATTACATACACATGTACATGATTAAATTTGAATACTTTTAATTTCTAAGAATTTTAGATAGAAAGTGGCTAAAAAAATATACCTAGATAAAATAAACATATCTTATTTGCCCTCTAAATCAACATGATAGAAACTAACAATAACCACTTGTGGAGTTACAATTGTTCCAAAATTTAATGAGTTTTTAAATAAATTAATTATAGCTATTCATCAAAAAATTATGCTTGTATGATGCATTTAAGACTAGAGAGGCACCAACAACTGGAATCAAATTCTTTGTCAACATACTTGGCCATTAAATCTGATTCTGATTCTAATCCAAGTTGGATCAGCCATTGATTACAAAGGATTTTTTTATCAACAGGATCAGCTGTGATCCTTTCCTGTGAATCTCAGGATATCTTCTCAAGTATGCTAGCCTACACACCTCTGCTCACTTTCTACCCTCATTGATTTAGCCCTTAGGGTTAATGAAAGGATTCTACTTATTGATTAGCTGACTATTAAGACATCCACTGGGGCAAGGCCTAAGATTAATCAATGCCACAAGAGAGACAGAGAACGACTCAGCAACCTGCCTAGAAGAGACAAATGCCCTGTTTGTTGCTATAACTGTTTGTTATGGCAGAAGAAACCCCTGTGCCCCGAGACGTATTCATCAGGCTGGCCCCGGCAAAGACACCACAGTGATGACCCAATAAACTGTGATGATTTCACTGATCGAAACTGGCAAAAATATTGGTGAGTCTTAGGTCTCTACTTCAGGGATTAGGCAGTCTAGACAGCTGCAAAAAGGTATGGATTTTAACTCACCCACAGTCTTTAATGAGTAGATGCCTTTAACTCATAGTCTAAGCACACATATACAAAACAAACACACTTTTGGATAAATAACTCAAACAAATTTGATATTTGTCACATTAACATATATGTAAATATATGTCTAAATATGTACATAAAATATCTCCATTTAATTTAATAATGAATGGACTAAAACAAATGCTCCAAAACTCCTTGGAATAAAATCTCTTTACATTTACTTAAATTTAAAGTAAAATAATGTTTTTGCCCTCCATTGTAAAGTTACCATTTTGGAGATACTTATTTTTCTTTGGACAACGATGATATGCAAAACAAAAGCATGATCAGAGGAATCACACCTTTTTCGGAGGCAAAAAGGTCAAAGGAGAAGGGTGATCTGGTTTAAAGTCCTTTCTAGTAATACTACAATTTAGCATTGCTAACTTGCTCAGGTGCTAGTTGGTAACCAATGTAGTGTCCTGAAAGGCAGTGTACTGTTTGGAAACAAGTTATCTTAGGAAAAACATCACAACTTACTTCACATAAAGTTAAAAGGGCGCAGTATAAGAGAGGTGCATAGGTCATTTTTTCATTCTGTTTATACAGCAAATTCTTAAACTTTAAAAAAGCTTTGGGAAGGACAACAGTTTTTTTCACTGCAATTCACTGTAAATGACATTTGGCCACAAGTCTAGTGGAAGGAGAGCCAGCAATTAGAAGATTCGGTGTTAAAATCCCAGGACTGACTGCATAATTCCTGGTTATGCCCTTGGGCAAAAACACCTAACCCCAGAATGGCCATAGGCAACAAAATCACAAATGTCCCTTGTAGGATCAGTAAAGTGTGAGATGAGGTGGAGTACTCTGAATCACATTCCAAAGCGTTGTTGGAAGTATTATTCAGTTTATGTCAGACAAGCCAAGGGAATTTGCTCCTTGCATTAGTCTACATGACCTCCAGTATGTATTGCATAAATTTACAATAAATCCATAGCCTAAAGAGTCTAAATTAAACAGGTTGTGGCAATTCTTTGAGCCACTTCAGAGCTGTATATATTAAACAACATAACTCACACTTCACTTAGAATAAAAAAAGACAGTGTTAATGTGTATGTAGCAGAAATACTGGCTGGTAAGAGAAGAGCAATTCCATCATTCACCTAAATAGTAAAGCAAGAACTTATTTTAAGAGGTTGTCTTATAGAGTCAGTTGTAACTCATGTGCTACCCTTGGAGTCTCCTGTCCTCAGAAGGCTACATGCTGATGAGTAACTACATTTAAATGCCACTGTCCATCAATTTCTGTATGCAACAGGTTTCTGAGTCTACTGAGACTGCACTTACGGTCAATCATGGTGACTGCGCTGTCCTGTGCTGCTGAGCTTCTCTTGTTGCCAGACATCACTGTGACCGAAACAGTGTAGTTCCTAAAAGGCTCCAGCTTGTCAAAATGGTGGAGGACAGTGTCCTGGCCCACCATGAATTTGTAGACCGACTCTTTTGAGCCTTGCCTCGTGCATTCCACCAAATAAGTGTCAAAATCGGCAGCCGGAGGTTTCCAGGAACACGAGAGTGAGGTGGAGCTCAAGGGGTGACAGTGGATGTTCAGCACTGGTCCTGGAGCTGAGGGAAAAATATGGATTTTCTTGTGTTGTTATTTTGGTAGGGCTACGAAACACAAGCATAACTTTCAGCACAACACTTCATTACAGCAGTGGTGAATTGCACATTACTCTTTGAGCAGATAGTTCAAGAACCTAAAGTAACTGTGAGTAATTTGGGTAACTTGTAGGCCTAGCCCACTTCATTTGAGGAAAGCAATTCTACTTTGTGTTCCACTACATTTTCTCAAATTGACTGTAATGTTGGACATTGTCCATAGTAAAATACCAAAGGATTCTCATATTGTTTGTGATGGTTTTGGTTTTCCAAATAAATTACTTTTTTTTTAAGGCTTACTTAAAAAAAGACTTTACAAAAAGACCAAACAATTCAATTTCTCAATGGAAGCTAATTGTTCTCATGTCATGCTGGGCCATACAAATGTAAAAATTATGAAAATGGGACAAACTGACAACAGCAAGTATTAATGAATAACTGCCAAAGTGAAAGATTCTTTCTCTAAATAGAAAACTGCTAAGTCATTAATTTCCAAAAAAACTTGCTAAAAAGACCTCCCTTCAGCCGACCAGATATTAAATCCATTGTGCAAAAAAACCTTTTACTTTACCAGTGTCCACCTTTTTTCTGCCGTTTTTATGCTCATTTATGTTATGTATAGGTCACATAGTCAGTAGTGATTCAGCAGTTGCAGGATTCATCTTAAAGTGTTTAGCTCAGCCAGAGAAGGTGCCTGCAGCAATTTATAAACAGGCAAGGACTCTCTCCAAGTGCTTGATTCATATGACCTATTATCAATCTATCCTCAGTGCCCTGCTTTTCTTCACATGTCACAATAAGAAGGAAAGTAATTAATAATTAAAGAGGGTAATGGCGTCTGTTCTCGTACTGAGTGAACCGTCATCACTTGTCTAGAGCCTCTACTTCTACACTTCATCACCACATTTGTGTTGAGAGTCACTCAAGACAGAAGAGTAACCTTTTTCTTTTTTTTTGTCTTTCTTTCTGAGGATAGCCATGAATGTTAAATCTGCGAAGCATCTCCACAGACAAGTCTTGTCTGTGGAAGACAAGGGCTTGAGCTATATGTAAACTGACACCAGTATCAATTTGAATCCTTTAATGTCTACACAAAAAAACAGCTATTTTTGCCATGTAATTTACTCTTCTCCTTTAATAATGTGATGTCTCACATTTTAATAAGTAACAAATTAAAGCTTTAAACAAGCAACCACATTAATTGGGACACTTCACACCTTAGTCAGTTTTTATCATTACTGAAACAAATTTTAAAAACTTACGTGGTGGCAGAATTTGGCCGAAGGGTGCTGAAACATTTGAAGGGTTTGCAATATCAATTTTTGAACACCATCATAAGGAGGGCAGGCTTTACACAAATGAGAAGAGAATTTTGTTGAGTGGTGGCCAATCAGAATGTTGAAATATTGTGCAATACACATTTGTATGTTTTTGTTTGTATTTGTCCTAAAGATCAGCCAATTTTATCAGCCAACTTAGCCCTAGCCAAGACTAGACTAGAAGACTGGAAAGGGCTGGTTCCAAACAGAAGAAAGACTAATGGGTGGGAGAGGTTTCAGCCCACGTCTATGTGACTCTATCTGCAACTCTGAGCAAAAATAACCCAAATGAGGCTGGGCCTCTAAATCAATGGCCAATTTCTTGACCCAGGGAGATGCAGGAAGTTGACAGAAGTTCAGCCTAGAACAGTGGTCTGCAAGAATGAGCAAAACATATGCCTGCAGAATATGGTATCAATGAATTATTATTTTTATTAAATTACATTTTTATAAAAATGAACAAATATTCTGTTCAGATGAAAAAAATTTAAAAAGGAATCCAAAGCCTTGCCATAACAAGGTAACACACTGCTTTATGGACAGCTTTAGCACAACTAGAAAACAACTGCAAGTTAGGTATAGTCACCTCAACTGGTAGTTGATAGTGCTTAGAGACAGCTATGTTATTAGCTTAGCCAGAACATGTTGTACCGTGACTTTCTTCTTAATGTCAGTAGAACACCGTAAATGATATCATGTGCAATGCTTTTATTTCACAGCAGTCGTGAGTCATGACTGACAAAAGCTGTGGGAGTATTTTTCATATGTTTCTAGTGGCAAAACCAGACTTGCTTAACATTGTGCTTCATGAACAGTTGATGGTTGTTACAGCCAGTCAAAAAGGCCAAAAGCGGCACCACAGCGGTATGGTACAAAAGCGCCATGGTTCCCACTTCTGGTTTATAGTAACGCTTCAATATACATAGCTGTGCTATGTATACTGAAGAACTATGCAGTTAGGGCTGTGACAATGACTGGCAAATGACATGTTGGATAAATCTAATAGATCAAAGACTACTTAAGAAAATATGAATTAATAATAAAAAGCCCTTTGCCCAGGATGAGGTTGATGATGGGAAGGTTATAAAACTACAGTATGGATCAGAGGGCTAGAGGAAGTGTAGCAGTCTGTCACAGAGAGGGGCTCTGTCCTCTCCAGAGATTGAGGACTACGGTCCCATAACAGCTGCCTGCTATCAATTCATCAGTCAAATCAATTCAGTCTGCACCAACAGCATGTTTGTCTGCTTTTGAGTGTGGTGCTGAACAATGAGAGCGGAGCTAAAAAACACTTCATGCCTCTTCATCAGCAAATGACATTAAGTGTGGTTTACAACACTCTAATAAATAATTCAACAGAGCAGATTATTGTGAGTAAACCAGGGAGGATCATGCTGAACAAATTATTTTTTATACTGGATGCACCTGTCTAGACATCCTCATGTGGCAGTCTTATGAGTTTGAAGCCAAAATATCCAAGTCCACTTAAGGGTGCCCCATATAAAAGAAGTGTAAAAAGTGTAAATCACCTGCATCTCATGCAGTGCATTCTAAAGTTTGATTTCCATTCATGATTGGAAAATCTACAGTCTTGTCATATTTACTAAGTGTTGTTGGCATGCTGCTGTTTGGGTAATATTTTAATGTAAAGTTTTAGTTACTAGGTAATGATATAACTGGGTACTTAAAGGTCATTCCAGCATAAAAGTAGCTTTTAATATATTATTTATCCTCTTATATAGCATTCTGTAGCACAGCATCAGCCTCATCTAGTTGAGATCATTTTTGATCATTTTTTTAGATCATTTTATATCATTTTATATTGCGTTCATGCATTGCACAAATACGTCATACAGCCATAGGGAATTCCTACAGCTCTCAGGAAAGCCTAACTGGTGGTCTAGTCACTGATCTATAGGCCAATAAATACATCCATAGTGCTAGCAGTGGTACAGTGTTTGCTCTAATCAGTCATTAGTGTCCAGCTAAAAGAGATGATATCACCCCTACCCCGCTTACACAAAGACATACTGCTAAATCTGCAGTAATATATTTGGCTTTCTGACTTTCCCTGCATTAGCCCAAATGAATTAGCCAGTTAACAGAAACAAAATTAATCAGTTATAAAATCAGAGCCTATGTGGCCAGCTGTTCACTGGGTGAAGGCAGTTGTGCTACTTTGATAGTTTGTGTAATTAATCCTTAGGTCCACATATTCAGCTGCTGGTTGTTTGCTCTCCTCAGTCACACTCATTCCTCTTGCAATGTTTTTCTGCCAGCAAGGCAAGGAGTGGGCATAAGGAATGAACCGAAAAATTAGGCGATGGTCTAATAATGTGCTCAGAGGCTTGCAGTTTCTTCTCCAGAGCTGGAACAGAAGCCAACAAACGGCGAGAAACTGCTGTGCTGAATAAAACATGAGCCATACTGTCGGCAGTATGTTACTGAATGGGTTTTGGGGCCAGCACATGTCTGTGCATCTAAGCCAAGGTGCTATTCGGCACCAGCTGCACCAGCCGGGTGCCAGTACCATTTTAGGCTCTTCAAACGCTACTGCTTTTCTGAGCGGAGGAACGCGCAGGCGTCTTTTTCCAAAGAAAAAAACTAGGCCAGGATTGCTGGACCCTGATCACCAATTCTGTTTCTCAGGCTCAAACTCATCATGTTCCAAGTGCAATTCTCCAGAGCAGTCCTGGGCTCAGCAGGGATTTTATTAAAAACTTCAAAAAAAACATGGCCCTGCCCTCTCTGAGGCCAGAACTATCAGGATGTTATGGTGTGTATGTGTGTGTTGGAGCTGGTCAGTGATATATTTGGCTGGATGATAACCGCCACTAAGAACTCCTTAGGGCAATGGGCGAAAAAGATTTATAAAAACTTTCTTAGGACTGACCTAAAATCAGTTTTGACTGCCAAAAACTGTATACATTTGCCTTTCTAAGGTGGTTTTCCTAGCCCAATATGCCCTCTAGTGGAGACTTCAAGAAGTATGTCAAAAAGACATCAAGAAAACTCACTCAGTGAGCAACACATACAACTCATTCTACCGTTCACACAGCAAAACAGGTATCATGAGACAGTTTGTGCTAATTGTGTAATTTTCCAGTGTGAGCATGCTGTACCATTTTGCAATGCAAATGTTGTGCATGAATGGCCAGCCTGTGCAGGCTGTAGCAGTCATGCTGACCCATCACTAATGCAATGCAGAGGTAGTCAGAATGTAAAAACAGATTTCAGATTGTGAGATGGAGGAGTACTGGAGTGACACCACTCCGCACTACTCAGATACTCTGCATAAGGGCTGCAAAATACAAATATTTTGATATTCAATACTTCCTGTGAATTAATCGACTTTTAATCACATTAAATGTGGCCTGTAATAATAAAGTGTCTGGCAATATTCTGACAATCTGAGGTCCCGCTTACCAGGAGGTAAATGACCATCATGAAAACAAAACATGTGGTCCTGTGTTTGCCCATAATTTTGAGTTACAGTAAGTTGCTTAAAAATATTAAATATTTTAACATGCTAGTCCACCAGACAAGCTGTGTATGAACATAACTACAGGACAAGCTGATGGCACTTCTTTGGCAATCACATGAAAACTGTTTAAAAAGGAGTTGTATTTGAAGATAATTAACTGTATGTAATACTGCGGGAGGATAAGCTGCCGTGTGTTCAATAGTATTTGAAGTAGCTGCTAAATACTTCTAGTTATAGAAAATGATAGAGTTTACAATATTGCAGTGACTAACGTTAGTGACGTAACATGATAAACTTTAGTGATGTTTGAAGGGTGACATTACCTCATTCTGACAACTTTTACTGTCAGTACGAACTGTGCGTCTTCAGGGAGTGGTACAATTTGTCAGAACACCGGCATGGACAGAAAGCTGCATATTACTGATTGGTCTGCTGCTTCAGACTCTACCAATGAATGCATTATGAAGTATGATTGCATAAGTTGTATGTAACTATCCTTGTTTTTAAGAGAATAATATCAGAGAATTATAAATGTATTGTTATATTACTGAATTGTTGCCTTCCTCAAGTTATGTCATTAAATCATTCTAGGCTAGACCTCACTTTTAAAATAATGCTGCCTAATGGTTTCAGTCCTACTCCTATACAAGCATCTTTCATTGCTAAAACATCAGCGTCTTTTGAAAGCAGAAAGCAGTTTTCATCAAGAACTCCTTGTTGAAAAGTTGGTATTGTGTTGGGCTTAAAGTGAGATGAGTTCACCTCAAACGAATAGAATAAGCTCTCCCGAGTGGCGCAACCGTCTGAGCATTGGCCCTATCATCAGGAGATTGCGGGTTTGAGACGACTAAATAATAATAGATATTTGGGGTAAAAATAAAAAAAATAAAAAAAACAAAAAACGAATAGAATAGAATAGAAAAATCTAATTTACCCAATTTGCTCCTAACTACAAAAACAGCAGCTCAAATAAAACATGTTTGGTGTCTGAGTTTGCTTCGTTAGTTTTGCAGTGCTTGTGTTTGAATGTGTACTCACCGGTCCTGATAATGTGATACACAAATGAGCTGTTGGCCACAGGTCCGGGAGACCCTCCGGTGACAGTGCGCAAACTGATATTGTAAAGTCGGCCAGGATAAAGGCCTCCTAGGACGCAGCGCGTAGGATTCAGGTGAGACAACTGCAGCGCATCCAGCGGCAACCACTTTACTTCAAAGCCATCATAGTTGCCGTTGGTTGGGGCATGCCACATCACCTCCACAGTGCCACCAGGGCCCACATCTTTGATAGACAGTGATGTTGGGGGCTCAGGAACTGGACAGAAACAGAAAGAGCTCATCAAATGCAAACTGCTAGTGTAAAAACAAGGAATTTTGGGAAGGGTCTAAATTATGTGGCAAGGAGTTTTCCCTGTCACTGTTTCCCTCAGCTTGATCACCAGGGGTTCAGAATTTCTGGAAAGTTGCTTTGAGACAATGTCTGTTGTATGAAGCACAACAAAAATAAAATGGAATGAATTGAGTTGCTGTACAACTGTCTCAGTAGAGGTGCTCATTAGAAAAAGAAGACAGTGACACATAGGAATTGACATTGGTCAGTTAAGTTGTGAAGTATGAAATTCTGAGATACATTTAACATTTTGCTTTTATTCATTTAGTACATGCTGTCATCCAGAGCAAGGAAATATTTATTATGTAGCTTTTAAAAAACAGAAGTGCATCTGAAATAATCTGAAGGCAGTCAGATCCCAAGTCTAATAAACTTGAGATTCATGACCCTGTGTCATCCTTGTGATACAGGCATGCATTTGTATTGTAGCGTTCTAATTTGAAATAAAGGGTACATTTGTGTCAAAGACACTAAATGACAAAGATCTGTCCAATGCTATCCTGCATCCTAATGGTTACACATATACTACCTTTCAAAGTCTGAAATCACATGGTGTAATCTTTTAGATTATTAAATTTTTGCACTGCTTCCTACAAATTATTTGAAATCTATCTATAAGTTGTAGGGTACTTGCATCATATTGGTCTTATATCATTAGAAACAGTGATTCCAAACTTTTTATGGTTCTGTTTCCGATTTGTGTGTACTGTGGGCTTGGTGATACTGACCTGTGCGGCCTACTTGAGTGATAGTGTTGGTCAGATTTCCACTGCGGGTTACCACCACAGCGGTGTATAGGTGGCCCGGCAGAAGGCCCTTGAAAAATACTTCAGTGTGCTCCGGCCCCAGCCTCTGGTCCGGCTGTTCTGAGCCCTCTAAAGAAACCACATATTCACTCAGCCTCCCAAGAGCATGTGTCCACCTCAACAACAGGCTGTCTGTGTGACCCTCATTATCAACCTGCAAATCCCTAGCTGGGGCAGGGACTGGGTGAGAGAGAGAGAGAGAGAGAGAGAGAGAGAGAGAGAGAGAGAGAGAGAGAGAGTAGAAAAGTATTATTATGTACATTATGTCATAAGGTGTTGTTATAATTTACATCAACCTAATTCACTTAAAAGGCCCATATACAACAATTTTCTTGTATTTTATTTTTTCTCCTGAGGTCCACATATGATGTTTGTGTGAGTTTATGTACCAAAAACATAAAACTATTACCATTACCATTTTCAACCTCCCTATCCAATATATCTAAACAGGCTATTTTTGTTACTGTGCCGAAGAATGGTATATGTAAATGATCACTGCTCTAATTGTATACCCTACAGTGTGCCTAATTAAAAAAAATTAAAAAAAAAAAAAATCTTTAAAACTCCTTATAATTTCAACATGAGGGCTGGCACAGCTAAACTGCTGCTCAACAGGGAGACATGTAAATGCACTGGTTTTGGTGACATCACAAAAACAGTGATTTTAAAACAGACTGTATTTGTAGCTTAGTTCCCATATATAGACTATTTGAACTGGGGTGTGCTTGAGACAGTTTAAATCTTTAACCATGTTCATGTAATACAAAAAAAGAAAAAAAATCTAATACTATTAAAAATTTAATACTATTCTAGATCTCAAATTAAACAACCCAGCAACATGTGCTACTCTGAAAAAAAAACCTCAGAAAAGTGAGAATGACTACTGTTCTAAACAGTAGTACCCACCTTTATACTAAGCCATGTTCTAATACATATATTACTAACTCTTGCTCGCTGACCATTAGATTAAACAAGTCACTATTACAGAGTAATACTGATGACTTCTCAGTGGCCTGACTGTTTTCCATCTCAGTAGCAAAGTGGCAAAATAGTGTTCAATATACAAGGTCTTGTTTCCTGCAGGCCATAAATCAAACCTGAATAGCGAGTGCACTCTAAACTTTCAAATAATTATCAAAGGCACTATATAATGGTCATTTATATGATGGTCATTACAAGTAAATGCTAAAAAGAAAGTAAACACATGCAGGGTAATGACTCATGCTGTTAATTTGCATTTAGATAGCATGCACTGAGCTATGAAATTGAAAATGTGTAATTTCCTTCAACAGGGAAAATATGGGAGAGAGGAACAGTAACAGTAACTGGTTGGGAGTGATGAAGGCTTATGTAGCTGTCAAATGAAGCTGAATGAAGTGCACTGTATCAGATGTTCTCAAATACTTAAGACACATTATATTTTCTATCTTTATAGGTGTTTTTCACTGAATTACAGTATAAACACTATGCAGTTTATTAGAAATGCCCATCTTGTCACCTCATTCACTGGCCACCTTATCCTGTTCTTCTGCCTTACAGGCCCACGATATAGGTGTAAAATTATAGACTGTTCTCTGTTCTCATTTGTTAAGTTGCCCTCTATTCCATTTAACACTGGTCAGTTTCAGACCAAAAGACTGCTGTTGACCAGAAATTATTTAGTAATTCTCAACACAGCAGTGACAATGACATGGCATGACAGCAGATGCTGATGTACATTATTTAACTGAATGAAGGTGGGGGCTTTAAAGCAATTAATGTGTTGTATATTACTGTTAGCTCTACACCTAAACTTAACCCAAGCGGTGAACTTATTAACTGAAAAGTAAAAAAAGCCTATTATGGAGGACATTTGATGGGGGAAAAAGCCTAAATTTCAAACACTCAGTATGCCAACTAGTGATCTGGTATTCCAATATTTTTGAAGTTACAGTACAGATTTTAAAGCCCCAGGGAACCTAAATCTGTTTCCTTTCTATGCAGGTAAACCTGGCTCTTGTGATTAAATAATATATATGTAGTTACACAATGTACATGTCCTCCTGAATAATCCAGTGTCCACTTAAAGATCTTTGTATTTTGCCAAAATTCTCCCCTCTCAATGTAAACTGGGCAGTCATAACCTTGGACAGTGCTTATGTAATCAGTGTCCTCACCAATCACAAGGCTGAAGTGGGTTGTCCCGCCCACACATCCTCAACAAAACTGTGTTCCCCAGTGGTCTCTTTCTCTCTGTTCAAGACAGAAAAACTTACCGCAAGAAAGCTAATGACAAACAAAACCTAACCTAGCAAGCATAACTGAGCCAGCAAGACCATCCATTCATCCGTTTGTTGGTTCAACAGGCCACGTTAGCATTCCCTGCATGACCATCCAGTAGTAAAGTGAACAATGTTTTTACAATGTTTGATAAAATGTATAATGTTTTTATAATGTAATAATGTTTTATGTGAGTGGACACAATGGGAATAATCTACCACAGAACCTGCGCATGTAAAGCCTGCTACACTAATTTTTCCCCACTTTGTTTGCACTGTACTTTAGTTCTGCTTTGCTAGCCTAGCAGGCTGGGAGTTTTAGAAAGCTGTCAATTACACACGCTCATCAGAATATTAAAACCTCACACACACAGTTCTCAGACAGGCCAGATAAGCGATTTTTAAGTTTCAATCAAACTTTCTCAGTCACAGTTTGCAGGATGTTTAATATAACACTCAGTTTTAGTATGATACAAACATTTATAATATTTTACACTGTGTTACCTGGGACCTTACCTTTTTTTCTTTACTGTTCTAAAGACAGTGATATGACAAGTCTTTTGACAGTGAAGCTGCATTGGGAGGTCTGATAACAGAGACAAGGCATCTCACCCGTGTGTGCCCATAGAGTAGAGTCACTGCTCTTGCATCCTTTGCTCTTGCTGACCACCACTAGCTTGTAGGGGGTCCCAGGCAGCAGTTGAGAGAAGCTGCAGCTTTGCTTGTCTGCTCCCACACTCTTATGGTCCTGGAGCACGTTCTCCTGGTTGTACAGGTAGAGGTCATAGTGGTCCACCCACCCTTCAGAAGCATTCCAGCGGAAAGCCAGCTCTTCTGTGCTGTTGGAAAGCAAGCGCAGGCCTTTCACCGCAGCTGGACCTGAGGGGACCAAAGATGAGCACTAGTTCTCATAAACATCTAGCAATTGCAAGGTAACAGCAACAAGATGAGAGCCAGAAGAGAGCTGGAGAATGGGCAGGCAAAGGACTGCAGTAAAAAAAAATGATGATACATATTTCCTTATCTGTACTTGTAAACACATATTCCACATTCTACTGTGAACACAAAGCTGAAAGACATACAAGTGGGTGCACATTTCAGAGACATGTACATTTTTGCAATTAAATCAGAAGCCTACAAGCAATCCAGTTAGACATTTGAAAGATGCATGGTTACTGAATTACTTCCTTCGTGTATTCTTAAACGAAAAGTTGTGTCTTACGTGTCTGACCACGTGTTGTGACCTCCTCGCTGTAAGTAGAGTTGCTGAAGGTTTTGAGGTGGATGTAGTAGAACTTTCCTGGGGTCAGGTCTTTGAACAGGTGACGCGTGACCCCCGCAGGAAGAGTGATGTTATACACCACAGCCCTGTCCTCGTTCTGTAGCTGCAGATCGTATCCATCATACACATTCTCTGCTGCCTCCCAGGTAGCTGTCAGGCTGTGGGTGGTGGGCTCAATATCTGCCCGAAGGGCATTTACCGTGGAAGGAACTGCAAGACACAGAAGGGATAAACACTCCTGGTAACATTCAGCTGGAGGAAAGTTACAATGATGGGGCCCGTAACCCTACCAACACTTAATAGAGCACTTTCCTTAAACCTCTTAAAGAGTACACCCTAAGACCTTTTTTCATTAACAGCTGAAGTGCATTGCTCTGTAAGAATAAAATATGCCAGGCTTACTTAAAATGTGAACACATCTTTCCAAACTGTAACAGTATGCAAACCAGTCAACCAACGTTACCGCCCCCCCTGATGATGCCCACCACCCCTGCCACGCCCCTAAATATGAGAATCATTCCAGACTAGAGAGAGGGACAAAATCTGTGCTTTCATGGATCGTTTTCTATACATATCGTCTCAACGCATTTAGCTTGTTATTCACTGTTCTAGTTAGTCATTATTGTTAGTTCTGAGTCATTGTGTTTGTAGATATTGTAGTTTTTAGCCTTTTAGTCTTAGCTAGGTTATGTTAGATAACATTAGTCAGTTAGCCACCTATATTTAGCCTTTCAAGTTTAGTCTTCCAAGTTTAGTTTTTCAAATTGTTCAGCATTTTTGAATTTAGCTTTTTTGGGGTTGAGAGCAGTAAGTCCAGTGTGTGCTTACTAGAGATGTAAAAGCAGTATTGGATTGCACATATTTCTCACTGGTTCTGCTCCAGTCAATCAGTGCATGATCAGTCTGCATCCCAGTAATGTTACCAAGATCGTCAGGATGCATGTTTGCGCACACTCTGATGAGGGGAGCTTCGCCAGCTTTATGGGGGGGAAACTGTGTTAGCTATCTGCCTGAACGACATCTTTGCCTGAAGCCTGATGGTGTCCCTTCATCTGCAGAGCACCTCGCTAACATTTCTGGCTAAGCTAAGGTTTACCCTAAGTTAAGCACATTGTCAAATGTCAGTGTTTAAAACCGAAGGACGCGGTCTGATGACAGTATAATGCCATATGTGGATGATGCCATTTGATAGTTTTTTCTCTCTAATAAAGAGTTGGCGCAATTTTTCACTGCATTTTTCAGATGCCAGTGAAGATAAGTTAGCCCGATAGCTAACTTAGCTAGCTAAAAATATAACGTTAGCTAGCTAAGTTAGCTAGCTAGTTAGCTAGCTAGCTAACATAGCAAATAACTTAAAGTTACTATCGCAGTAAGTTTACAGAAAGTGAGTGCCAAGTTATCATATTTTAGGGATAGGCATTTCAAGTAATTTTGTGGTCGAGTACTCAAATGATACTGTCTGAAAACGAAGATGAAAACGAACTAGCATTAGCTAACGTTAGCAGTAACCTACATTTGCACCAAACCATGCTGGCCATAACAACAACGAGTCTTTCAGTGCAAGATATAGTTGCTGGACTGGAAAACATTTAGCTATGAGGTTCATGGCACCCACACTTATCCAAGAGTTGTGCTCTGCATAGGTCTGCGTTATATGTTTAGCTAGCTAGCTAGCTACCTTAGCTGATATGGCAAAACACAGGAAAAATTGAGTCAACTTGAAACGTTTGTCATTTTTATCAGATGGAAACAAACTATTATAGATGGCATCATCCACATATGTCAGTTCTTTATCGCATTTCGCGGCCAAACTTGCACGCCTCTCTCTCTCTGACGATAGGGAACCTAGCTCATGAACGCTTCAGTCCTCATGGACTTAACTCAAATGGTAATGGAAATAACTCATGGTTTTAACTCAAATATTTAGGTGAGACGTATTAGGATTTTTTTTTTTTTTTAGATTTTGCCAAATTTGCGAATTTTGAGTCAGCTAGGTGGTTACGTGATATTTACTCATGCCTATCCCTATGATTTTTAATCATAAAAAGGAAAAACAATAATATAGTAATAGTATAATAACATTTTCTTTTTTAGACAAAAAACTATAGAGACGTCACAAGTCAGGCTGATTCAACTAGTCTGCATGATGTCTTTGTCCAGGCACATGTGAAATACCATCCAGAAAGCCTAAAGGTAGGTACAGAGATTCAGAGCTCACTTGTGTCTGATTGTGCATTGTGTAGATCCTAATATCCGCATTATTCGTATTTCTATAATGAAATGTGCGGCTACTCAGGCAATGGTACATAACAATAGTGTGTCATGTGAGGTCGGTTCTCTTGAAGCCATTCATGAAAACTTTTAGTACCTTGAACTTCCTGAGGAGACCTAGGGCTTGACATTGACCCTGATGACTTTGTATACAAGTATAATCTACTTTATCGGACACTGTTCATATAATTGTTAAACCACTGAGATAAAGAACTTTTTGAATTAATTTTCAGTGATTAGAGCTTTTCATACTATACATTTTATTCCATTTAGATTCAGTTTGTCAAATGAATGATTAAGTTATAAAATATAACAGCTGCAGGCTATGTTGACACCCTCATGGATCTGCTGTTTGACCATGTGGCAAAAGGACTTCATACCTATGAGGAGCTCTTAACCCAGGTGCTTGTTCCTAAAAACCTTTGTACCTAAGCAGCGGAAGAAATCCTGGTAAACTTCATCATTATAACGAAACTCGTCCCTGCACAGGAGGGTATGACCACATGCACGTGACCTAAATACCCCCAGCACTGCCCCATGAAGTTGCGTATGCAAGATGTCTGTTTCAACTGTAAAGAACCCAATTAAACTTAGTTTGAAATAGAAATGTTAAGATTAGCACATTTAATGATAATTCAACGTAAGATTAGGTAACCTGCCGGAGCGATTAAGTGAGGATTCTTGCAAGTCTCCATACGGCTGCTGAGTAGTGCCATGAACAGCTTGCAGAACGTAAGGATTTAGGACCACTGCAGCAAACCCTGGATGACCGGTGAGGCAGTGTACAACTCCAAACTGTCACATCTGTGAACAACCTGTTCGGTGTGTTCCGTTTTAAACTTCTCAGGTAAACTAGCAGCTAAAAAGCTAGATTGTGATGCTGGTAGTGCTATAGGATGGGTAACGGAAGCTAACTAGCTAACTTGGGCTACAAAGGTTGGATTAGCTTGTTTTCCTTGGCCACCTAAGTTACCTACAGCAAATGTTTATAAAAGTTTAGTGCTTTGTACAGTGCTCACAAGGAGTGCCATAGCTTGATATCAAAATAACTGAAACTTAAATAATGTTTAAATAAATCTACTTTATTTGTTTGAAATTCAGTACATCGAAGAAATCAGGACTTATGTTTTACTGAATGTTTATCTTGCTGAACTGATAATTAGAAGCTAGCTATCATGTTTTAGGTAATGTTCTACCGTTCTGATGCATCTGTCACTCGCTGCTAATCATTTTCTGATGCTAATTCTTCAGCAGCTTGAGACAGTGGCTACTATTGGTAAGGCTAAAGACTCCCTGCCTGATCAGGAACACCTTCCCCCGTCGAAGATGAGGATGGTGGTGAAGAAAAATCGTCAACCTCGTAAGACCTCTTAGTCAAACGTGCTATTTGATTTTGTCACTCTCCATATTTTCTGGTAGCTAACGTTAGCTAGCTCATAGCTTCATAGCAGTTACTGAATAAATCTTTAGATTAATCATTGAATAATAACCCTATGAAAGAAGAGCTAATACTCAAATGCTTCTAAACAATAGAAAAGAAAATGTTCATGCAAGTAGCAGCTCAAAAATCAAGTGATAACATTAAAACATGCCCTCAGTTATAAAGTGAGAGAAATGAAATTGAGTACCCAATAAAATAATATTAAGTTCATGCTTTTGTGGCAAAAAAAAGGCCTCTCCAAAATATTCTGTATTTTTTTAAGCTGACCTTAAGTTGCTTCTTCAGGTCTGTTTAGGCTTGGAACTTGACCCCTCAAAGTGCAGATCTATTAAACCGTTTTTAATTGTATTGTTCTTTATTCAGCTACCACTACAAAGGCATAATGTCAAATAGAGGTAGTATAACTATTATTTTTTACTTTTTGTCTAGTCATTCAAAATAGACAAAGTGTGAATAATGATTGTAAAAGAAAAAAAAAACAATGAGTGTGTTCCAGACAATAATAAAAAGTATTTGGTTAGTAGGTTGCTACTAAGAGCATAGCAGGAGATTCTTCACGGTAAGGTATACAGCAGAAGTTTTGTTGTTCATTGGACTCATTAATGCTCTGCCTGTCCATCTAATGCACATTATACACTAAGATTATCCACAATTATCAAGATCTTTGTTCTCATGGAGGCCATGCAGTGTTTTTCTATCGTTGTGTAGGAAAACAAATTTTCTATTTCAAGCTGAATGCTAGCTATTTACCTGTGTATGAGTGTTAAAGCAGTTAGTAGCAAGTATATGAGACAACCTTACTGATGAGCATACTGGTCTGTTTTTGTAGCCCTGTTTTCACAATTACTTGCTCCTACATATCAGCAAAAACAACAATCTGTGCTTGGTCAGTTTGCATGTCAGTTGAAAGGAGCTTTCCTATTTAAGAAGGCAGGTTCTTGGCCATGTTGAGCATTGAAACTGTGCCTACCTGTCTGGTTTGCAAGATCAAGTGAATTTGAGTATAGTTTTCCAGGCTAACAGAGTACTTTGGGCTTTTTGGTTAACAAAAAATGCTTACATGTTTACAAAATACACTACTGTTTTTTTTTCTGCTGCAGCAATTAGATTCTAAAATCAAGCAATCCCTATGTAGTCAACTGACCACTATGGCAACTAAAAGATATATTAGAAGACTACCAGAATAGTTGAGCCTAAGTGTAAGGTATGTAACTATGAGAGTGAGGACGTCTAGAAGTCTAAGAGTTTAAGGGTTAATGTGGCAATAAGAGTGTCAGGCTATGGCAAGCGTTTTGGCTAACCACACTCATTCGGTGCTATACCTCACCTGTTCGCCCACTGGCTGTGCTGTTGTTGGTCAGCTCTCCACTCACTGCTCGTACAGTGACAGTGTACAGCTGACCAGGGATAAGATTTTCAAAATCCAGCTTATTTTCCTGCTTAGGGATGCGACGGGCATCCTTGACATCTGTGTTGCTGGACAAATACACTTCATAGAAGTCCACATCTCCGGCTCCGGGGATCCAGGTGGCCCTCAGACTGCCCCTAAGATTTCCAGGAATGAGCTGGAGCTTCTCAACCTGGCTGGGTACTGTAGGGGATGATAGACAAAACTACACTTCTCAGTGCCATATTCAACACAACTTTTGCAAATTGTGCTTTGTCACTGTTCCCAATATTTCATCAGTTGATAACTTCATTGTGAAATTTACTGAAAATAAATCACGCATTTTACATTTTTTTAGTCTGAAAGTCTTCCACTCTCATCTGACTGTCAAAGTGCATGAAAAAGATGAGCTATAATTTGTACACCTATACAGCCGACCTGTAGGGTAGGTGGACCTCATTAAATCACCAGTTAATGAAAGTACAGGGTAAAACATAAGGTGAGTATATAACTACAGATCATTGACTAAATTGAAGGATTTTTCTTACCAGTCTGGCCCTCTAAGAACTGGGGCCGTACGTATGATCCGCTGAAGGTGGACACCACTATCTTGTAGAGGTAGCCTGGTTTGAGTGGGGAGAAGAGATGCTGTCGTGCAGAGCTGTTGAGCTTTTCTGCCGAAAAAACTGCAGTGTCGTTGCAGAGGATCTGGACCTCATATTGATCCACGTCACCTGCTGCCGCCTCCCAACTCACGCGCAAGTCCGTGGTGCCACTCTGGGCCAGGGCCAGTGCACGCACTGCAGCAGGGACTAAATGATAAAAACGCTGACATTAGAATCCATGATTGGTGGAAATTACACAATATTTTAATTCTTGGTATATGACTGTATCATGGTGTAAGAAAATGTACTGGCAGAAAAACAGTATATAAAGTCAAAGGACAATTCATGCAATCTTTTACTAGAAAATTCTGTTAATAGCAGCTATGTATTTTTCTGAGTGGTGTTTCTTAATGCTTATCCTGGGGATTGTCACGCAATTTGTTTTACTACCCCCCGCCTCAACACAACTGGCTCATGAAATGCTTAACATTCCACTAATGAAACTGCAGTCTAAAAATCTAAAGAGAATGACTCTTTATGTGCAGGTGTTCATGCATAAGGGCATGGCATGCATCCATTAATAGCTGTTCATTACTGTTTGAGTGTTGATACCAATAACTATGCACACTATCTGTCCAAAAGTTTGTAGACATCTGCTCATCCAATGTTTCTTCTGATCAAATCAAGGGTGTTAATAAGGAATTTGTCCCCTCTTTGCTCCAGTAACAGCCTTCAACATGTTGGAACATTGCTGTGGGGATTTGATTGTTTTCAGCCATGAGCGCATTAATGAGGTCAGGTACTGACACTGGATGATTAGTTCTGGATCACAAATTCATCTGGAGCTCCATTACTACAGAGGGTGCAGTTCCAGTTCTTTCTCCTTAGCTCAGTACTAGGGGGCTTTTTATCCCCCATATTCGAAGCATGTTATTGAGCATGGTGACATGATGGCTCACATGCTACTGCTCCAAAGCCCCACGTTCTATTGACAATGCTTTTCTAAAGAGATTAAACAAGCTGTGTGTGTGTATTTAAACACCTGTATTAGCAATGGGTGACCATAAAGTAGCTGAATTCACCAGTTAGAAGGTCTGTCTGGATACTTTTAGACATACAGTGAACACTAAAACAAAAAACAATAAAAGGACATATTTATAACCATGTACTGGTTGTAATAGTTCTGGGCTAGATAGAATAACTAATAGAGACAAGATAGGATACTGTTGTAGACATGGGTATGGTGTCTAAATGTCCTGAGAGTCAAGCACAATAGAAAAAAAAACAACCAAAGTCTGTTCACTCCGCAGCCATCTTTGCCACTCCACCAGGCAGTTATTTACAACCATACAAGAACAGACTCCTAATCTTTTTGAATGGGGAGAGACCAAATTACTTGAAACTGAAGGTCAAATTACCATTTAAAAACATGTTTGAAATCACCGGTAAAATCTGACAAAAACCTCATAAATTGTTTGTAGTATTTGGTTCCATGACTCATGTGACAAAAATGTGATTTTTTCGGGTTGGTCTCGCTATAGCGTTTGTGCAGATCTTCACAACTGGGGGTGGGGTGGGGGGCGTGGGCTTTCCCCACTAGCGCCGCAATTCTCCACTTGTGTTGTAACCAGCAAGCTGATTGGCTCCTTTCTTGAATGGTGGGACTTAATCTGCAAACAAATGCTATGCTAAGCGTTATGAGCGTTCCCATTCATATTTTAACCAGTGACCAGTCTCCTCATTTATAACGTCTCTGGTCCAACTCTTCCAGCCAACGCTTTACAATCGGAATCTCAAATTGCTTCCTACTCCCTATCTAATGTACTATGTATATGTCATAAAATAAGAGCTTTTACACCGAAATAGTGCATGATATGTCAAACAGAAAGCCATTAGATGCACTACTCCGTATCTAACACTATTTGTGCGCAGAAGCCATAGTTTCCTGACCTATGCAGGAGCCATAGTATTTGAGTGTTTCTTAAAATGTTATGCATTACCTTCTATGTCTTTCATGTTACAAAAAGCAGGGGTCCTGCAGGTGTGCAGTTAGACCCTTCTCTGCATGCTCCGTAGTATCGAACATAGGTATCAATATCCTGATCGCCGATACCGATACTGCATTTTAAGTGCCAGTATCTGTGCCGATACTGACATGATACTGATATTATGTAACCTTAGTTAGCTAGCTTAATAACTTTTGCCATTGTAAAAGTCAACACCATAGCTACATGTCTAAATTAAAACTGTAAGTAATGTTACTATGTAGTTGTCACTTTATTACCAACATATTTCAGTTCACCATAAAGGAGCCAAACTAGCTGAGTAAGGTGTTTAATGATAAAAGTAACAGTTCTTTCTTCTAATCATGTTTGACTGACGATCCCTCTGTAGCAGTCTGAAGCTGTGGGGTGATGATGCAACACACGCTTGGAAATATTACAGTGGTGGAAACCAGACAAAAAATTTGAATTGAACAGAATAATTCTACTCCTGCAGTCCACATGCACTGCCAAGTTGATAACTGTTCTTGAGCTGAACCAGGTGTATTAGAGCAAAGAATGCACGAAATGCATGTTTAGTGCAGACAGACTGCACGACTGGAATAGGGAAACCCTGCTGTACTATATAAGGTTTCATGGACATGAAATACATCGATATGCATAAACATGATTTTAGTTGCTCTTCTTGTCATTTTTTATTTTTATTTTTGACTGTCAAAGTGGTGCATCCCAACATTTCAATTACACTCTAGGGTTCATGGGAAACTTGACATGTTGTTCATATTTGAGACCACAGGGTGGCAGTAGTCCATTTCATTTATCAGGATTTGACCATACAGAGCATGTAAGAAACCTGTAGCTCCATCTTGTTGATGCTGTACAAACTGTAGCCAGTCTGTTAATGCACAGTTTGTGTTAGGTCTACATTAATAGCCAGTTTCTGACCACAGAGCCACTCTTGGCTGGGTATTTTTGGGTGATGGTCTCTCAACCTAGCAGTGCATGAGAACAGATGGGCTACAGTCTGTCACTGTATTCCAACTTAGTAGACCTATTAGGTAGATGGACCTCAAAGCCATCAATAAGTACAACTAAAGCAATTAACCAAAATGGAGACAGAGCGACAGCTAGACAGAGCAAATGAAACAAAAAGAAAATGTGAACAGTCAAATTATTTGTTAATAAGTAACACATCATCTACAGAGAACATGCCTCTGTACATTTTAAGGCACAATTATTGTTTAGACCTATTTGCTGGCTTTAACATATTATAACAAATAAAATGTGGCATTGCACAATTTAGTTTTTATGTTTTGTTTTTCCAATATGTTCTCAGCAAAACACATTTATGTATATTTTACATTTTGTTTTTCCAGTGTGTAATCAGCAAATAAATAGAAATGCCATATTTAAGTTTGTTCCCTGTAGAGGATATTTTATTTTTACGTAAAAAAAAAAATCAAGAAAATGTGTTCAATTTTTGCATATGACTGTATCATGATAAAAGAGGCTGACACTCACACGTTCGTCCATCAGTGGATACCTTGGCCTCAGATTGACCACTCCAGGTACTGACAGTCACTGTGTAGAGACGACCGGGCACCAGATCACTGAAGACACACTCGTTTCGGCTCCTGTCCACCGTCTGGTTCTGGAGGAGGGTGTTGTTGTGTAGGATTGCCACATTGTAATGATCATAATCCCCAGTTGCATGGGTCCAGGACACTTTCAGAACGTTTTCTTGGGCTAAGTGGATGGCGGTGGGATTAAGCACTGCAGATGGCTCTGGGTGGGGGGAAGGTACTTGCATTACTTTATCATTTGTTAATTCTGTGTCACCCATGTGTGTGTATGTTTTGACTACTACAAAATCTTTTACAAAATTTTTAGACATGTATAAAATGATTTTGTTATGATGCCAGTATTTTACAACATCATAGGTTTAAATTACTATTTGATAACATGTTTTAGATGGGTTCAAAATAATGAACAGTGCTGTAGATGATTCCAATAATATTTGTGAAAGCTGTAGAGGGAAAATTATGTTGTAAAATGAAATGCTAAAATACGCAGAATGCCTTGTATTTCAAAAGTGGTGATTAAAGCTTGAGAAATTATTCTAAATAGATGGTTACAGTATATTATTTATCTGTTAATAACTTTTTGTTATATCCCACGAAAAAGACACAAATGAAACTGAACATTCAACAATACCTTGTAGTTTGTAACAGTAGCATATGTATATCTGGTTTAAAACTGTATAATAATTTTCAGTGTACATTGCATCAGATCTTACTGAATGTACAACAATTGTTGGTGTAACTTACGGGTTCTTGCCTGCACCACAGTGACATTTTTGTAACTCCCACTTTCGGCGCTGATGGAGATGGCGTAGAGTCCACCAGGCACCAGGCTGCTGAACTCAGAGCTAAAGTTGGTCATGGTGAGCTTGTGCACAATGCGCTCACGGTATTTCAGGATGACCTGGTAACTGTCCACATCTCCTGCCGCAGCTTTCCATGAGACATTAAGGAAGTCTGGGCGTCCATTATTGCTGACCCTTACCTCAGCAACAGCCGCAGGCACTGAAACACAAGTGTAAAAGACATTTTGACAAAATAAACACATAAAACCGAACAAGGCCTGCATACATTGGCCTGAGTATGGTCAGTGCTAGGTTAGCTGCTAGGTTGAGACCACGTATGTGAAAACCCCAGAAACACTGCTGTGCCCAATACACTCATATCAGCACCACACATATACTGCCATACCACTGCTGTGTCTAGAATGATCCACCACCTAAATAATATCTGGTGAACAGCAGTCCTGTCGCCAGAACTTGACCAATGATGTATGATGTAGAGGGGGATAATAAAGCAACAACAGATGGGCTACATTCTGTAATTGTACACTTGTATAGTAGACCTATAGGGTAGATGGACCTCATAAATTGGACAGTGGATTGTCAGTGTACAGTCGTATGCCAAATTGTGTGGACCCCTGGTCAAATTATGTTTTGTTGACTTTGAGTAAAAATAACATTCACTACAAAAACACACATCTGCACATTTTAGATTTTGTGGGTTTCCTTCACCCATGTGTTAAACCTGCCAATAAGTAGAAATTATGCACTAAAATTTGCAGAAAAGTGCCATATTTAAGTTTGTTTTCTGTAGAGGATGTGTTAAAATTTGTATATTACAATGACTGTATATTACATATTTAACTGTTCATTCACTTTTAGTTTTTTATCTGAGTTTTCAGAGAATCTGCTGTCATCGCTGATATAGTAAAGTCAACTCTATTTCCTCAGCTGTTGCCTTCAGTGGAAAGTTGTTGAAAGTGTTTTGTGTCTCCATTGTTTGGGCTGCATTTCTTGACTTCATTAGCACTGGAAGTCTATAGCTGAAAATAGCTGCTCTGTTTCATGGGAAAATGGTTGGGTCTGCTCAGGAAGACTTTGATAACGTCCTTGCTTCTTCTTTTTTTCCTCTGCACAGAACTTCCTGAAATTCCACAGATTCCCTTTGTATTGGAGCACTGCATTGTTTTGCAGAGATTTTATCACATGATTAATTTCGTGGGACAATGGCTGAACATTATTTTGCTCGAGTTCGTACAAGGGCAGACACATAGCCTTTAAAAGTTTAGGTGTAAATTAAATAAGGTGAGTCTTCCATGTACAGAAACCAGCTTCTGAAAACTATCGCTTACTTTTTTACATATGTGCTACCTCTTCTATACTATAAAACTGATTGACAAATAACAAAGTCATTCATAGTGGTTTGATGTGAAGTGCTCCTTTCGAGAGAAACCTACTAAGTCAGAATTGATCACAGTGTTGGTGATAGGAACCAGACATGTGAAGAATTTAATGTCCCTTAAAGCTCCCTCACAGAAAGTTATTATATGAAATGGTTATGAATACACTCTTTCAGGCATCATGCCTGAAACATGTGCAATAGTTTTGAGATAAAGTTTTGGTCTGTTTGTTTTTAATTTATTCATGCAGAGGGATACATGTAGGTGTTGTAAGACAAAATAGCACCCGCTACCTTTTTCAGATTTATGAATGTTTTACCATTAAAAACATTACAAATAAAATCTCAGAAGACATATGTAGGTTCACTGGTTGTTTTGGATAACAAAAAAAAACATTTGTGTTGTAGACATCATGACCTGTGGTTCCTATCACCGCTACTGTAGAGAAATCTTTATTCTTTAAAGAACCATTTCATATCAGACCACTCTAAATAATTTTGTTGACATTAAATTATGCAGTTTTTTAAAAAGAGAAATGTGATATTTTCCTTTAACTTACTATTAGACGTTCTAGTAGTAGTCTAGTAGATACATTTATGTTTGACAGTAAAAAACAATTGTGTTTCACAATAAAAGAACAAGCTCTCGAAATGTCTGAGCATGGTCCAGCAAGTTTGGATAATCACCATTTTAAGACATTTGTAATGAACATTAGACTTCATGCTTGCCTTCTGTAATGTCTACTTGATAAGAAATTAGATGAAGTTATACACTCAATTTACCTACAAGTGAATTTACTGAGATTGTCTCTTCATTGTGCTTGTTACAGTGCTACGGACTAAAAGAACACAGCAAATCTCTATGTGACTATGTAATAAGAGCACATCATAAAGTCACTGCTGAAGCATATTTTCTGCAATTAAGGAAAATTTTAGTTTTAATGAAAAATATTGTTATCTTATGTGTACAGTTGTTCAAAGCTGTGTTTGAAGTTTTGGTAATGTTATGGTTGTTTTTGTAGTGACAGAATGGAACATATAATCATTTATTTTAATACAACAAACATAACTAAGGCATAAGGTCAATGAAAGCAAAATGATTTTAGCTTAAAGTCCAAGTCTGTTAAAAGTGTGAAAGGTGTTTTCAACTCTGACTTTTCAAGAAATTCCATTACATCACAGTGCCCTGGAGAAATGTCTCTCATGCCTTTTCTTAGGAGATACTAAGCTTTTTCTGGGATGTCTGTCTGGAGTTGTCTTTAACTTTGTTCAGTTGAATGTAATGCTAATATGCTGAGAGTGCTATAGCTACCTGTCCGGCATTCCACCTCGGCCTGCTTGGAGACTTGTTCGTCACTGACAGTGGTTACTAGCAGCCTGTAGAGGGCTCCTGCTGTAAGAGAGGGCAGGTGGACAGACGTGGTGTTGGCTGGAATGCTCATGTTGTGGACAGCCTCTTTGTTGTGCAGGAGTAAAACTTGATAAGAGTCCAAATCTCCTGAAGGCCTGTCCCAGCTGGCATTGAGAGAGTCTACAGTTCCCATGTTGCTTAGCTTCAGGGATGTCACTGCCTGTGGCACTGAGAAAAGAAGAAGGCAGTTATGAGTACTGAAATCACTGTTCCTACAGTTCTTAAAGCTTTTGGGGATTTGGAGACCACCTCTTGTGGAAATACGTAATTGCACACAAAGTGTGAAAGAACATTTTTTAATGTTGGTTGTGCTTCAGCTTGATTGTGAGCACACTGAAAGAGTATTTAAAGAAACTTAGTAAAGGACGTGTCATCCGAGGATGTAAGTGAATTGTCTACTATTATCATCATATCTTCATCAGTATAATATTAATTTTGCATTTGAGAGGTAAACATTCATTTTTAATCTGCTCGTGTGGCATTAATACATAAAGACGTATGACGTGGTCCGAAAAACTTCTGAGAAATCAACTCAACGCCTCTCAATTTTTAAATTACTCATTTAAATAATTAGAAAAGCAGAAAAAAATAGAAATGCAAAAAAGCAATGAAGCTATAAACATTGTTTCAAATGAGTTTTTAATATTAGCTATTTTCTTTCCACCAAAAAAGTAACTTTATTTCACAGTAGCAATAAAATGCTACTTTCTGGTTTAGAGGTCCTGCAGTTTTTGCATTATGCATTTTTTTCTTCAATAACACTGATGGAATATATTTCAATGGAAATGTGTATAATTTATAAAACTGGAACTGGATGTTTGTCTTTGTAGGTGAGTGAGCAATTCAACATTTCTAAATGTGTTTTTATTGTGGCAGTTCTTCATGCCTTTTTGTTATATTTTTTGTTGAAAAAAGCTGCAGTTGTGCTCTCTGTACAGCCATCTTTGTGGAGAAGAGTAAATTGTATTCAGAAAAGGGGGTTCTCACCCATCATTGCTCGCTAGCAGCTTAACATTTAACATTTAACACATAGACAGTCGACTGTGTCCTATTTAATCAGATAATAGTGTTAGGGGGAAAATCTTTTTACTTGATTATATTGATTCAATTTTCATTCTGCTGGTGAAATGGTCGCAAGGGTGCCTGCAGAAAGATCATAAAACAAACTATTTTGTAAGACAGAAAAACAGAGATTAGTTAGTTGTTCATATGGATGGCCTTACACGTCCTTCCTGTTACTGTGGCATAGCTGTTGAAGCTTCCACTGGTGGTTGTCACTACAATGCTGTATAGGCGTCCAGGCGTGAGCACGTTAAAGGTGCATTCTCTCATACCACGGTCTAATATGCGAGTCTGAGTGGAGCTGTTGCCATAGTAAAGCTTCACAGTGTAGCTACTCCAGGATGATGAAACAGGGCTGTGGTTCCACAGAGCACTGAGAGAAGTCTCATCTGCATGACGGATATGGAGCTGCGAAACAGGAGGTGTGGCTTGGTGGGGTTGGGGAAGGGGGGAGAGAGAGAAAACAAACTCATAAGAAGAATCGCTTGCAATTCATGGCTGCAAATTTGACCTAGAGTACTGAATTGCAATACAATACAAAGCCTGAGCATAATTTGAATAACACAATATACTCTCTTCTTTTAACAACACTCTGTAAGCATTTGGGAACTGAGGAGACACTGCTGTAGTTTTAAAAGTGAAATGTTTTCCCATTCTTGTTTGATATAGGATTTCAGCTGCTCCTTTGTTGTATTTTTCATTTCATAATGCGCCAAATGTTTTCAGTGGTGACAGGTGTGGAATGCAGGTAGGCCAGTTTAGCACCCAGACTCTTTTAATACAGAGCCATGCTGTTGTAATACATGCAGAATGTAGTTTGACATTGTCTTGCTGAAATAAGCAGGGCCTTCCCTGAAAAAGACGTCGTCTGGATGGCAGCATATGTTGTCAAAACATCTATATATCATTCAGCATTAATGGTACCTTCACAGATGTGCACGTCAACCATGCCATGTGCACTAATGCACCCCTATACTATTATGAATGCTGGCTTTTGAACTGTGCACTGATAACAAGCTGAGCAGTCTTTAGCCCGGAGGACGCAGTGTCCGTGATTTCCAAAAAGAATTTAAATTTTTGATTTGTTGGACCACAGGACACTTTTTTACTTCCCCTCAGTCCATTTTAAATCCGGCCCAGAGAAGGTGGCAGAGTTTCTGGATCATGTTTATGTACGGTTTCTTCTTTGCATTTTAGAGTTTTAACTTGCATTTGTGGATGAACTGTTTTCACAGAAAGTGGTTTTCATAAGTGTTTCTGAGCCCATGCAGTGATTTCCCCTACGGAATCATATTTGTTTTTAATGCAGTGCTGTCTGAGGGCCCAAAGATCATGGCCAGCAAATACTGTTTTTTGGTCTTGTCCCCTGCATACAGAGTCTTCTCCAGATTCTCTCTTTTAATGTTATTATATACCGTAGATGATGAAGAGCAAAAGCTCTTTGCTATTTTACATTGAGAAACTTTATTCTTGAACTGTTGCACTGTTTACTCATGCAGTCTTTCACAGAGTGGTGAACCCCTCCTCATCTTTACTTCTGAAAGACTCTGAGATACTCTGTTTATACCCAGTCATGTTACTGACCTGTTGCCAATAAACCACCACATGCTTTTTTAGCGTTACACAACTTTACCAGCCTATTTTTACCCCCATCCCAACTTTTTTGGAACGTGTCTTTGCACTATTTTCAATATAACATAGGGTTTAAATGATCTGCACATCATTGCATTTTGTTTTTATTTATATTTTGCACAGCATCCCAACTTTTTTGTAAATGGGGTTGTAGAAGAAAAAGTTCTAGTTAAATAACTTCTTTTTCATTATAATTATGGTTCATTACAGTTATGATTTTAAGGTTCAGCCTCATAGAGCAGATTTATAAATGGCTAGAAAAAAAAACCCACTCAACAGTAATGCTGTGCTGGGTACCTGTTCCTTGACAGTAGACGGTACTGGTCTGGCCACCGCTCTCCACAATCACTGCTGCTTTGTACGCTCTGCCAGGCTGCAGAGAGAAGCTGAATTCCTTCTCTGATTTGCCCACAGTTTCATTGACCAGTATTTCGCTGCCATTGAAGAGTAAAATGCGGTACTGCTCCCACTGTCCATCAGGGGGCATCCAGCTAATCTTCCACAAGCCATTCGCTGCAAGATTCTCCACCTTTACCTGGGAAACCTTGCTTGGAGCTGCCATTGACAGGAAGGAAGATACAGTAACAAAGATACAGATACAGAGGGGTCACTGTGAAACTGATGCTTCAGAACTGATACTTGGACATAAAATACATGTTAAATTCACAAACATTTACTGTAGTCCAAACTGTATTAAACAGTATTTGCTAAGGCACATTATAAGACACATGTAAACATTAAAGTCTAAACTTTATATATTTCAGCCGTGATCAAATTCCCTGGTTTAGAATTTCTATTCACTTGCAACTACTACTTAAAGCAAATATTTATGTGCACTTATGTGCAGTTTTGGATTTATCCAAATTGGGTTCCTTCTAATGAATATAAATAAGTAAAGTATATTTTTCTGTTTTTAAATAAGTTTTATGTAAAATATTTGCTTAATGTTTATGATGGCCATAAATCTTTTTTTTGAGTGTAATCTTTGTCCAGATAACCCACGGGAGTTTTCAAGTACATCCGTGTGTGTGTATGTGTATAGGTTTCACTGATGTTTTTTCAAAAAGCAGCAGGTTCTTATCTTGCATTTCAGAGTAATGAATTTCTCCATTATAGAACCAGTTCAGTGAAGTATCAAAGCAAACAAAAGGAACAAAAGTAGATCTACATTGCACTGATCAAAACAGTAGCCTGAATTATGTCTACATTTCTGTCCATTTTTATAGCAGTCATACAGTCTATTTAGTCTACTTAGGATTACAACTCAACAAGCAAGTGTGTGAAACTATAGGCACACAATTAACACAATGTTAAATGGTGAGGTGTAAATTAGGTATATTAGCCTTGTTGTGCCAGCATGAAACTGGAGTGAATCTTCCCAGAAGAAAAAAATTCTTTCATAAGTTTGTCTCAGAGAAATAAAGCAGATCTCAATATTATATTAATGAAGGATTACTAATTTCTGAATTGTCTCTCCTAAACCCCCCTTAGGAGAAAAGAAGAGATCAGCATTTCACTATAAGACGTTCTGGTGATGAAGGAGAAAAGCATGAGTTCTCCTTCTGCACTGACAGATGACAATGAGATCTTACACTTTTCTTATGGAGACTGGGGTGAGACAAGTCAGACACTAAAGAGTTAAGCGACATGTGTAACATTTTGATCAAAGTGAGAAAATCTGAGGGTTATTTCTCAGGTGCCAAATTTCAGAAACAGCTTAGGTCTCACTCTGATCTCAAATCAAGAGGTCAAGAGGAGATCTCATTTAGAATATTTCTTTCCTTTGGTTTCAGACACCAAACATGTCTTTAACGATCAATGACTTCTGGGGTAAAGGGAAATTCGTGTAAATTTTATTTTCACCAAAATATAAGTTTAAAGTTTCAGTTGTACTCACTAGTGCTGCCCATCACATTGATGTATTTGGTTAGATTAGCGCTCCTGGTGTAGACAAAGATCTGGTAGGTGTGGCCAGGACTCAGGTGGTCAAACAGAGCTTCTGTGCTGTTTGGAGACAGAGTTTTCACCTGTGGTACTGACTCAGGAGCCAGAAGCTGGACCAGATAATTCTCCACATCACCAGGAGATTGATCCCAAGAGACTTTGAGGCTGGTCTGGCTCCCATTGCTGTCAACTCGTAGATTTGAGACTGGTTTGGGTACTGCAAAGCAAAGGAATAAATAGATTCAGTCAGTTGGATTTAATAGTAGGGATTTGTTTTAGAGCAGTTGTTTCCAACTCTGACCAGGGTGCAAATTACAGTGGGCGGGGGGTTGGAGAGGGCCTGCCTGCCCTAATTAAAACCTCCAAAAGAAGTAAAGAACAAAGGTTGGGGATTAGAGGTTCTTAAAATTTCTTATTACTAATTACTTGTTAATTTGAATATTAAATACTAAAATATGTTCCCTCGGTGACGTCAGATACATTATACAACTTCAAACAATCCTATTTCAAGCTTTAGTCCCTTATTTTATGTTTCATTGTAAAGAGAAAACTTAAACGGGTAGGTACAATTTTTTTCTGATTAAACATGAAAGTTTAGTCAGCTTATGTTTAGTTAGCATTTGGTTAGCTTATGTAGCTAAGACTACTTTAGTAGTGTTGCTTGAATATATGAAACTGGCTATGCACTAATGTTATCTTGGTGTCTAGATAGTCACTGTATTGTAGATAAGCTTCTGAGACCCTTTGGCATCAGTTTCCATATCTTTTATTGCCTCTACTCTTAAAAATACAACAAGTTATGTATTCCATATTTGTGATCAAACAGCTACCCTATCTGTCCAAAAGTGTCCAGACACCATGCTAAAGATGTGCACTGATAGTTGAGTACTCATTTAACAATTCAAGGTTACCAGTACTTGTATACCGAAATCACTATGCGGTTATTATTAACGTTACATCAGGGAAGATGAAGATATTCAGTCCAACAATTCAGCGAAAATGTAGTTCGCTCATATTCACGAGTAAGTATGTATGTTGTAGCGTTTCAGCATGAACTGCCGGTGTTCTGACGAATTGTGCTACCTTGTTGAAATGTCCTAGCGTACTGCATATTTTTAGGTAGTGCTCTACATAAAACTGTAGGTACAATATTTTGATGGCTTAAATTACCCTATGAAACTACATGAAACCCATCTTAACTTGCATTCCTTTTTCTGAACACGCTACAATATTATACTCTGCTGTTCCAAAACAGGAGTGCCTTAACATGAGCATGCTGCCATGGACATGACTGAGAGGGCAGAGATAACTATGATAACCACTGTAGCTGATGTTTAGACAGAAACAGTGAAAATGTATTTCTCTGACAAACATTTTGGCACGTCGTCCACTGAGGAGAAAAGACCACCTGTAAGAAGACAAGGAAACTTCATTGGCATCCAGCATTGTACAGATTGGTAGTAGTTTTAGCTCATTAGTTTGGCGGAGGCACTCTGTATTGATCATCACACATAAAAACCTACTGATTTCTCTCTGCTATTTTTGAGCATGAGCATTAAAACATAAGAAGGTTTCAAATGTGTAGTTCAGTGTGCCTCTATAATTTTGTGCAACACCAGAGCTGTCGTCTAAAAAGCGAAGCCTACAGCGACAGTCATTGATCTTGGCCGAACTCTGTTTTTTCCTTCTCCACAGTTACCTGATTATCTGTTCAGTAAGCCGTACGGATACTCTAACGTCAAAATCAGCTGGAATTCACATCCCTAGTATAAAGCCTTGGGATGTGGAGCAGTGGAACACCTTGGAGTGGTATTTGTGATCCTGAACTAATCAGGACCAGGATTGGGAAGTTTTATCGTTTTAAATGTCCAACACTAGCGTACATTAGCCTATTTCCACATGATAAAATGCATTAACTCAACATATTTATTGCAGAGATTAAGTAAAAAGAAAGGCAAAATGTTTACTGATGTCATATATTTTTTTCATAAATTTACTCACTCACATTTTTCAGTGTAGCCTTCTAATGATACACCAAACTGGACTGAGGTTAGCTTTTTTTAGAATATTCTTTTTTTTTTTTTGTATAAACAGACCATTTCCAAACCTTCTTTGATACTTTTTCATCTGAGTTTTGGTACAATAAAGATTTTTTAACTCAAATCTCTTGCAAATTCAGAATGCCGTAAGCTGAGTGCAATAAACACTACAGAAAGAGGAAAATGGTTGTTGACAGATGCCTGAATGTGTGTTTGGAGTGATGTACTGTAAGTATGGCATTGCTTGGACGTTTCAATTGTTTCAAAATCTTGCAGTATGTTTATACTCTGCTGTCAACAAACAGAACATTCTGAAAGAAAGGAACTGAAGCATGGGAAAGGCGCGAAAGCCGAGGTGCTGATTCTAATCTACAGGAGTGTATTGGGGGGGAGTGAACAAGGGGATTTGAAAAAAGTGTGAAGGTATGATTGACACAGCGCAGTGGTGACATAATACAGGAGCAGCAGGAAAGAGAGACAGGGCGTTTACTTGGCTGCCTGAAATGTTGTGGAAAAAGGCTACACACATTAGGAAACTAGGAAAAGAATAAAAAGAAAAGCAGATTTGACCTATCTATGCTCCCCATTCTTTCGTAGCTACGGCTGGAAGGTTGGGCAACGGCAAAACCCCCATTCCAACTTGATGGGACACTGTAGCACACAACTCAAAACTGATTCAAAATACCTGCACTGCAGCATGTTATTCATTTCAAATTAATTTTCTATTCTGTCTGAGTGTGAGACTTTTATCATAGATTGGATGTTTTTTGTCATATGATCTAGTTTTATCCAGTTTTTTATGAATAAACATGAAGTAATAGGCTATGCAGAAAGTTGGCTTGGCTTCATCAGATTTAGTGCTACTTTATAGCTAAGTTAATGCTGTTAACTGACACCACTAGCCACTGTAGCATGGCTGAGAGATCTGCTGGCAGCATTTGAACTGTTGTACTTGCCATTTATATAGACATGACAATGGCAGAGAGAGTCAAATAACAGAAGAATAACAATAGAACAGGACTTTAAAATGGTTTGTGAAAAAAAGAGTAAAGACCCTTGTTTGCTTTTTGTAGGGGGGCGTTTGCATTTTCTTGCGCTGTTAAAATTAACACTGCAATCTAGAGTGAAGTAAATGGCCCTCTTTGCCAACTGTTGGCTTCTTTGAGCATGTAACTTGTGCGTGTCGCTTTGGGTCACTAAAGCACAAGTAGGATGTAGCCTAATATTGTTTTAAAATCTTCTTTTCATCAAACATAATTATCTTCCAACCATTGTAATAATCTCTCAATACAGCACATGTAATGTCACTATGGGTGTGACACAAGTGTTTCTCACCTTACATCAACAATCTGATTGATGCTCAGATTATTGGCATGAAGTTCATCCAATAAGAGAGAGCAGCGACAGCAGTTTGAGTAATAACTTGGCTGCTGTGTCGATACATGTGTGCATCTGTATCTTGTCATCTCTTTACAAATAATTCAATAGAAAAGGAAAACAACATGTGGAATTTAGCATGAAAACATCTTGTTCGTCACATACAAGTTTAATTAAAAATTTAATCTTAAAACACCTTTCTGCATCCCTGGACTCTACTACAACTACCGTAGTTGGTCCCTTCTAGAAAAGGTCTAAAATTACGCAGTAAGATCAGTTATTAATTTTAAGCCTTATTCTATAAAATACTCAGTGATTACTACGAAACTAAAATTTTGTAGTTATGAGAGTGAGAAACTGAAATGTGGACGCACATATAGGCCCTTAGAGTTTCAGGGGTTAATGCCAGAGTCTTTGCATAAAAAAAAAAACAATACCTGTTTGTGCTTGTATATCTGTAGAATTCAGTAACCCTTCTGCCACTGCGACGATGGTGATGTTGTAGAGACGCCCAGGAATTAGGCCATTCATTGTGTAGGAGGTGTTGATTTTGGCTAATGTGGTGTTCCAGGTGGAGCTAAGGCCCATGCTGTCTCTGAGCAGAATTCGAAACTGCTCTGTTCTGCCTGGGCCAGGCTGCCAGGAAACAGTCAAGGCATCCACATCTCTAGACACCAAAACTTCATGTACAGCAGAAGGTCCTGAACAATAAAAAAACGGACATGTATGGTGTCATCCATGTGTCAAAATCAGAAAACATTCTCTACATTTTGTACCTACCAGTGTAAGGCAAAAGTAAACATAGACTTAGACTTTTGTATTGTTTCCTTATTTGCTTTTTATTTATTTTTTATTTTTTACCATTTTCCTTGTTTCATACTAATAATGAAGTCAAATAACACATGCAGAATTACAAGACCACACAAGTGCTAAACGAACCAAAACTATGTTTTGTTTTAGACTTTTTAAAGTAGCCCTCTTTTGCACATTCTTGGTATTCTCTCAAGCAGCTTCATGAGGGGCCACTTGGGATCCACATGCTGACATCTTTTTGTGCTGCTGAAAATTGCTTGTTGGGGGCATACAAAACTTTTTTCAGGTATATAGGCATCAGCTTTACTATTTACAGCTGTCTTAGAAACAAATTTCATGCATTTAAGCACAAGATCCTTTAGATAGAAAACAAATTCAACCAAAGACCTTTCATTTCTTTCAGAGCCCTCATCAATCAGGGGAAACTTCATCTGCATGACAATTGTACGTAATGAAAAATATTCTAGATATTTGTAGGCCTCTTAACTATGTATTATATTAGTAATTGTGTAATGTACCGATAATTTAAATTTTTTATCTATAAAAATGGATGTAATTGAACAATAACAAACCACACAGAACCTTTCAAATATTCTGGAATGCTGGAAAAAGATGCAAGTCTTTTAGTGTTAATACATACAGTCAAATGACATGTTTTGTGAAAATAAGTTAACACATCCTCTACAGAGAACACACCTATATATGCCACACTTAAAATGTAGTTTGCAGAAATATGCCAATGAGATGATTTAATAATAATAATAATAACAAGAAGAAGAAAAGAATATATATATATATATATATAAATGTGTGTGTGTGAGTATGTGTGTGTGTGTTTTCATCATCTTCCTCTTCTACTTTTGCACAGGCTACTTTTTGTTTTTTTTATGTTTTCCCCTAGTATGATAAATTCAGCAAATAAACAGTATTTGCACATTGAAATGTGCAGAAGTGTGTTCTCTGTAGAGGATGTGTTCACTTTTTTTCACTTAGAAAATTAACAAAATTTACCCAAATGTTTGCATATGACTGTACATTATCTTCATGCAAACTGCAAATTAATAACTATTCATCAAGAAAGTCAATTTGAATTAGTTATTTATTTATTTTTTTTTATTGAGCAATCATCGTCTAGCTCTAGATCTTTCTGCACTATATGAGAAAAATAGGGTCAGGAGAAGCTCTGTTACACAATGGTTTAGGAAAGCTGTGGAAGTGGCTCTAGCTGAGCCTTTTTTGTGTGAGAGTGCGCCAGGGCAGTCAGCGGGTGTGATGTGTGAGGCAGATAAGATTGTTCTGTAGTGTTTAAAGAACGCCAGCACTGACTGGCTGCTGGGCCACCCATGGTGAGCTTATTGTGGGAAAGAAAGAGGGGGAAAGAGGACCTTTAGGGGTAAAGGGCAGAGCCGGGCGGCTGCTGACCACTGAGCCGCTGCCTTTTCTATAGCTCTTCCTCCCTTCCCGCTCGTTAAATCACAAACTATGACTTATTATAAAAATTCCACTGTGCAATGACTTTTAAAGGGCTGTAAGCAGCACCTGACATTTCTTAAGCAAAGAAGTTACTGATTATGCAGGAAATTCAGTCATAGTTACCTAATTTCTAAAATTAATGTGTACAAGAATCATCTTTCTAATTTAATCATTCTTGAGATTTATGCTCTCATATAAAACAATATATTGAACGTATATTGCATAATTTGGTAACTACTATGAAACTATATGCAAGTTTTGTATTTACAAGACTGTTGAATTGAACCTTGCAGGTTAAGAGATTAAACCACCTTTGGGCAACTGATTTTCATTACATGATTTTATTAATAATTTAAAACTGTCAAATATTTTTTTAGGCTACATCCACTCTTCATTTACTCTTAAACACAAGCTTTGTTTTGCTAGACCGCTATCAGTTGCATGCAATTTTTTATACAATTGTCTATTTTAAGTGCTGTCCTGTTATATATCAATGCGTCTGACTGCTGACATCACTGCTCTCTGTTATATTGTATCTATTCAGTTACATTGAGTCAGTAAATCTCACTGATAAATAGCTCTACAAACTAATCAAAGAGACAAACTGCACTTAAAGAAGGGACAGATGTTTAGTTTCTGTCTTTTATGCTGTATTATACAATAGTTAGTTCCGGCCACGCAAGCTGATTAGTTGAGAAGCGTTCTAACCTTGCTGATATTTCGCCATAACAGCACAGTTTTTCACAAACACTATATCGCCTCGCTGAGACGCCGTTGCCAAGCAACGACTTTGACATCTGTAGGAGACGCTCAAGCCATCTGAACGTTTTTTACTTCTTACTTTGCGCACGAACAGAAAATGGATACTTTTAACATCACATTTGACCGACAGCCGATTTGGTCAGACTCTGAAGATGAGACGACACTAAATTCCCAAACTGTCATCACCACTGAGCAGCTTTTCAGTCGGCAGCTGAGACAGAAGAACACCTAAACGACCTGGAATCAGCCAGAAATACCATTCGCCAAAAAAAGGGGCTGTAAGATGCTTTACAGACTGGCTGGAACAAAACAACATTAATATTGATCTAGCAAAAATGACAACACTGAGCTAAACTTGATATTGCGGCAGTTTTATGGCTCAGTCTGTACTTCAGAAGGCGAGGCTTACTGCAGACTGAGCAGCGAGTGAGCGGAGTTTGTTGCTCTGACATAGCAGCAACCTGCATGTTAAGGAACTATAATTTGGTGAAGGAACTGCTAACATTAAAACACAAATGCTACGTTCACGGCTCAATTAATTAATTACTTACTTTATTTATTTAACTGTTGTATAAAAGCAATAGAACACTCGAGGTCGTGTGTTATCGCGAATAACATCACGGCAGTTTTAAAAGTTCCCTTAACAAACTCGCTAAGTTTCTACAAACAGCAGTCGGCACACCAAAACACCACTGTCCCAACTGTGTCCCACTGGCTTGTTTCTCAGTGTTTTCCAGGCGGCCCACCAGTGGTTAAGCAGAGTGTTAGACAAAATGTCACTTTTCGTCACTCATTTTGCATTCATAGTCCAGTTTACTGATTTTTCCTTGATTTCTTTCTTTCGTTATTTCGTATTTTAAATAAAATGGTACCAAACCAAATATATTTTGTTCCACAAACGTTTTCCCCAGAATATCATTCAATTAAAAGTTTGTTCAGGCATCAAAATACAAATAACGCTACATACATGCTACAAGCAAGCTACCACTACTGTGCACTGAAATGATGTTGCGCAAAAGTAAGTGTCCTACTAAACCTAAACACTATTATACAACACCAGCTACTGAAACTGTGTGCTACCTCTGTCAAAGTAGCTTAGCTACTACATTTACCAAGTTTACCAGTATGTGTGGGGTATTTTGGTGAGATTGCAAGTCTTCTGAACTCAGTTCAGTGCACAGCACCTCCGATATGGCAATATTTGTGTTTCGACTCCTTAACATCCTCGTCCAGTGATATAAAATGTAAGGACCTCAAAACATATTGGGTATCGAACATTTTCGTTTACCACAGGGCCCGATAGCAGCAATCTTCAAAAAGGCCATTTCCTCATAGCCAAATCTGGAGTTCCTAATATGGACATGACGCCGACTACAGTATGAAGACATGACTTCTGAGGTCTATAAAGATGTTTTTGACCTTGGTTATTTTCGTAAGACCCATGACATGTGACCCATGAATATAGACAATAATTGTTTGTCAGTACCTGAAATGTTCTGCATACCTACACTAAAACATTTTTTTTCAGGAAAAATATTGCATTAATGTTGTGTCACGTGACAGATTCCTCTAATATGCCTCTTACAACAAACGCCAACAAACATACACCATGGCGGAGAGGTGGAGAGGACGAGATGAGAGTGTTTTAAAATGAAATGCTGCCACTGTTCAGCGCTAACAGAGAGAGATTTAAAAAAAAAGGCAACTGCCTTTCTAAAAGGAAAGTGTTTAAACAGCTATTTATGGCAGAGAAATGTGAAATCTCACATAATGGTAGTGTAAACAGTAGAAATATTCTAGTATGTAAAATATGTCTACAATTATAGTATAAATATTCTAATATAAAACAGCAACAATAACAACGTAATAAAACAATTATATAAATACTAATAATATTAATGTGTAAACAAGGACATTTCCTTATCAGTAGGTTATGCAGAAGTCAGGGAAACCAAAGGTCTACAAGTTCATTCAATATAACCAAAACATATATCAATTTTTCAGGAAATGGTGTCATTATATAAATCTTTTTTTTTTTCTTTTCTAAAAGTAAGTTTGATGGAAACAAGCCACTGGGCCGCAAAACCGCAAGCAGTATTTTTACACATTTTCATTTTATCGCTTGCAATTTGCGTAGAAAATCAATGCAAACATAACTACTACTGACAAACAAAAAATCTCCAAAAAACTCAATATTTAACTTGGCATATACAGCCACCCATCAGGGACATTTCCTGCACATTAATGTTTCAACAATGAGTATCAGGGTGGCGCAGTAACAAAGGGCCCTAAAGGGAAGGGCGCAAGGTTCTAGGGGAGACCTGTCTTTTCATTTTGAGCATTCCTGCGTTTGTTTCACAGCTTTTTGTTGTTTGTTTGTTTGTTTTTTTTTATCTTTATCAGTTTGTTTTTATTGCTTCTGTATTTTTTTAAAGAAAAAGATACTATATTGCATACTGGATATAAGTGTACAGGACATGTTTTTAAAATGTTAGTCGATTTAAAATACAGTAGAAGAGGAAATTTTGGACACACCTAGTTGAATGTATCAGGATCAGGAATCAGGAAGTGTCTCTGAGCTAGCTGAGCATTTTGCTGGATGAGAATGAGGAGAAACATGATATTATTGGTTATTATTAGAGATGCTCATTTA